GTCATCAGGTGAGAGATGCCCCGAACAGGTCAGGCCAGCAGCACTCAGGCAGAGGGAAGGGAGCATCCATGTGCTCCACATCAGGGCTCTGAAAGCCACAGCATCTTTGGTGCCACTGCCCAGCACTCCCTTTTGCAGGGCTGCTTCCCAGAGTTTGTTCTTTGCCACATATTAAACATCCCTCTCCTTAGGGCTTCAGAAATAGCCAAGAAGGAGGCAGAGGGAAAGAAAACATGTCTCTCATTTTGCTTCTAATTGTTCTGGCATATTTTGCCTGGCAAAACCTCAACTTTCATCCCAGCTGCAAGGAACAAGAGAGGTAACCCACATGGCACCAGCAGGGGACAGGCCTGAACTATGACTATGGAATGTCCTGAGTTGGAAGAGTTCAAGGCCAGGTTGGATGGGGCTTGGAATAACCTATTCTAGGGGAATGTGTCCCTGCCTATGGCAGGGGTCGGCATGAGGTCCTTTAAGGTCCCTTCTAACCAATCCATTCTGGGACTCTGTGACCACTCACAAGAATGATCAAATCTCTCTCCTGGACTGAGGAGGTGGTTGCAGAGCCACAGCTGTAAGTGGTGTTGCTTTGTGTTGCACTGCAGGAAGGATGAAACCACAGGTTATTACCCCTCCATGTACCTGCAGAAAGCCGGGGAGGTGAACAGCTCTGTGAAGAGTGCGCTGCTGAGGAACCGGGGTGCTCCCCCACGGAGGTAAGAGAAGCTCTGTGCAGAGGGCAGAAGAACATCTCCCTCTTCCTTGAGGGAGATGAAATTAAACCAGACAGGGTGTTGGGTGTCACCTACTTGCCCTGTCAGTGAGGAACTGCCTGGAGAAAGCAGGACACACAGAGAGCAGGGCTGTCCCCTCTCCAAGTGCTCCCCAAATACCACAGGCACCCCAGCATTGCTGATGCAGGGCTCCAAGATCCTTGCTCCAACAGGTCCACCTGTCAGCTGTATTTCTCCTTGTCCTTCTGCAGAGTTTCTTTTCTGGGCTAATTTTGTTTAATTTTCAAATTGGCCATTTTCTTGCTTCCCAAGTGTGTGCACTGAATCTTTCAGAGGCAAGGAGACATTTGGCTAAATAAAGCTGCCAAATGGCCTAATCTAATGGGAAGATTTGAGCTGATGCAAGGGATTTTATTTTGATTAAAAAGATAAAAAGCAATAATAATTCATGAATTCCAGTACAAAGGGAATGACTAAAAAGGGCAGAATTTGGTGCTATCTCTTTTTTTCTGCAAGATGACACATCAGGCCTGCTATAAAATCTCTCCAAATCCAATTTTGCTGGAGCATGGATTGAGTGTGAGACACTGTAAAATGGTCCAGATCCACTTATTTGAACACAGTGATGTTTGCTGGTAGCCCTGGGGGAGATGAGTGGCCTGTTCCAAGGACGGTGGCTTGTCCCCCTGCCATGGTGACTGCTGCCTCCGTGGCACTGGCAGCCAGGCCAAGCCCCACTGTGAATGTGGTGACCTGTTGTGGGCAAGAGCTTTGCTATGACGTGGGGTATGTGCTCAGACCAGGAAGGGGCTGAAGGCAGACAAGCACATTTCTTTGAGAAGAGCAGGAGGACGATGCCATGGGGTGGACATCAGGAACCACCTCACTCCTGCCATGGTACTGAAGACAAAGCAGGGGCCTCTGTCTGCCTGCCTGGGGACAGTCCCCAGCGCTGGGGGTTCCCCTGCAGCAGCCCCAGGCTGCTCAGCTTTTCACTTCTCTCAGTAGTTCCTGTCCTGTGGGTTGAACACCGCACAGCTGGGTGCACACTGACACATGCCCCACACTCCACTCCCCTGTATCTGAGCCTCAGGGAGCCATGCCAAGCCCCACACCAGGGACCTCAGTTTTGTGGCCAGGATGTGCTGTATGTTCATTCATCAAAGAGCTATAGATCACTCCTGGGACTTTCTTGGACAAACCTCAGGCCCATCTCATCCTTCCAGCCTTACACCCAATCTTCCTCACCAATCCCTATCATTACTTTCCAGATTTGTGCTCAGGGTTCACCCTTCAGTGTTTTCTTGCAAAGCCCCATCCAGCTGCCTCTGAACACATCGCAGATTTGTCTCACTGATGGCTTCCCTCAATGGCTGGCATCCACCAGGCAAAACCCAAAAGCAGAAATTGGGGTTTGGGTGAAGCAGAGGAGGAAGTGAGGGGAAAGGAGGTGTGTGGTGTGAGAGCTGCCAGCATGAAAACTGAAAGTTTTGTTTCTCGCTCCTTGCAGATCCACCATCCGAAATGTGAAGAGCATCCACAAGCAGGGCCGGAAGCAAATCAGCCAGGAGACCTACAGGAGGAACAGCAAGAAGTACACCCAGAACCAGTGGAAAATGCGGGGAAATTCCCAGAACAAGGCCGATGTCATCAGTAAGTCTCAATGGAACTGGAATCCTGACCCATGTCCCCCAGCAGTGCTGGCAGCTGGAGCAGGGTGGCACACTGAGGTCACACCATGCCCATCTGTTCTTTTCCAATGGGGAATGTCTGTGCAGGGAGGTGTTTCTTTCAATGAGTTTTCTCACTCCTGGCTATAGGTCAGACAGAGTAGAATATGGTCCTGGAAGGAGGTCAGCTCACATTTGGGACCTGTGCTTTCCTTTGTGCACCTAACCTCCCCCATGCTGCCATTACCATTGCAGTTGCCATGTATGTTAGCTGTCAGCAGAGCCCCCAGAAGGAAGTGTTACATGAAGAATCATAGAATTCTAGAATTCAGTTTTGGTAGGAAGGGACCTTAAAGACCAATTCGTTCAAGGCTTCCACTTGATTGGATTGCTCCAAGCCTCATCCAACCTAGCCTTGAAAGGGAAGCCACAGTTTCTTTGGGCAACCTGTTCCCCACTACCTTCACAGAAAAGAATTTTTTCCTAATATTTAATCTAACCCTGGCCTCTGACAGTTTGAAGCCACTCCCTCTTGTCCTACCAGTTCAGGTGCTTGTAAAAAGTGTCTCTTCATGAAGAAGGAGAGAGGTAGTCCTTGAGGTTTATCCTTTATATCTGCTAGACCCCATGCAGTACCTCCCCAGAGCTAAAGAGGGGCAGACCTAAAGGCAGGCTTTCCCTGAGCACAGTTCCCAGTGGGCACTGGTGGGCACGTCCTGACACCATGACCTACAGGAAGACCACTACATGCAGCAGGGACAGGAGGAGAGGCAGGAGCTTTGGTGGCCATGATGTAGGAAGGTGCTGAATGTTCATGAGGGTGGTGTGTGGTGAACAGCTCTGACCCATCTGTACATCTTTTTTACTTGCAGTTGAGAAAAATGAACCAGAGGACAACAAGCCCAAGGCTCAACCTGCTGTTCCTCCCCGTCCCAGCAAAGAACTCATCCTGAACCGCTGCACTGAGAGCACGTGGAGGAAGATCCTGTGAGGATCCTGTGAGCCCCTACACCAGCCACCCAAAGCTTCACCTCCTCCAGCTCCTGTGCAGCTAGGGCTTGGATCTAGGGATCCAGGGATCCAAGGATCCAGGTGGTTCTGGCATCCACCACAGGCCGGGGAGGCTGTGGCTGTATCAGCCCAGCCCAGTGCCCCTCATCCTCCATCACAGCCAGCTCAAGCTGTCCTGATTGCACTTTGAGGAGGGACCAGCCCTGCTCTACCAGCTCCTTATAAGCACCAAGTCCTCATCTCTAGATGCCATTCTAGTACCTCTTTGTATTTTGAATTATTTTTGTTTTCATCAATAAAGGAGAGACACTTGACAGACCCTGAGGAGCAGTGTGGGCATGGTGGCAGGAAAGGTGTTCCTCCAGGTGGATATTGGGCAAGGAACTCTTGCAAAAGATGCTGGCAGTGAGGAAATTTATTTGGGGGGATGAAAGGACAGCAGCTTCCTCCTGGAGTGAGGGATTAGTGTTGAGAGAGGGCTGCTTCACACATGGAGTGTGGTGGGACGGCTGCATTTGGTTCTGGCCACAGCCAGCCCTGCCATCGCTGTGCCAGACAGGGCTGGCTTTGGGTGAGATCTCGGGCTGGGTTTGGGATGGGGCTGGATTTGGACCTGGGTTTCAGTTTCGATCTTTGGAGCTGAGTCTAAGTCCACATTGAGGTCTGGGGGTGTGTTTAGATTCAGGTCTAGGTCGGGGTGTAGGTTTAGGTGTGTTATAAATGAGGTCCCTATATGTCCTTTAATAAACCACAAGATTTAAAATTTAGCAGCAATTTTAATTGAAGTATAAAATAATAATACAGTCAAATATAATTCAGTAGTTACAAAAAGAAATTTGGTAGTGGTTCAGATAAAGCATAAGGAAAACCGACTGGAGTACAGGGAGGGCTTCCCACCCTGCCTCACATACAGAAGGCGAAAGAATCCACACACAACTTTTATACTGTATGCTAATACATATTCATCAATATTTCCTGTAAATCTCCTCCCATTTTCGATTCTGGAAATCTACATGACTATTCTGCACAGCACATGCTCCCATTGTTGCTATGGAGTCTTCTAGTCTTTTTAAGGGTCTTCTTGGAGGAAGGCCAAAGGTCTTCCTCACAAGTCCTGTGGATAACCTGGCAGGTGGCACATGTGCTTTGAGCTTGGTGTTATATAAATAAGCACTATGTTCCAATTAAACCTTTTTTATTCCATAGATAAGACCACTAGTTTAGACTCCCTGTCCGGAATGGTCCCACTTTTATTCATGTTCAAAGTCGATCCTGCTCTGGGAGTTGCCTTTTCCCTTCAGCTGGTGCCAGTTTTGGTTTGGGAGTTAGCTCCTGACTTCCTCCATTCCCACGGCCGAATCCAACCCCTGCACCCTGCTTCCCGCATGAATTCTTGAAGAAACCCATCTGCTTCGTAACACTAATCCCATATACTTTTCCAATTATTCTCCCAAATTACTGACACAATCAGAGTTTATTCAGCTGGAATCACCCCCATTTATCAGGGGGTGAGTTTGTGCCTCAGGCTCCCCTCAGAGGGAGGCGCGGTCCCTTTAAGGGCAGCGCGCATGCGCGGGGGGCGGCGCTGCGCGGCCGCGTGTGGGAGCGGTCAAGATGGCGGCGGCCTGAGGGCGCTGATGGCGGGGCTGGCACGGCGCCTCCTCTGCCGGGGCGCCCCGGCGGTGCCGCCGGGCACCCGCCAGCTGCGGCAGCCCGAGGAGGCCGCCCCGGTGTTCCAGTACGCGGGGAAGGCGGCCAAGCGCAAGGATCGCGTGTTCGTGTGGGGTTTCAGCTACTCGGGCGCCCTGGGCATCCCCAGCTTCGTGAAGCCGGACGCGGGCTGGAAGAAGCCGCGGCGCATCCAGAGCACGCCGTACCGCCTGGAGACGGAGGAGAAGGTGCGCCCGGCGGGTCTGCCCCGCCTCCGAGCCCGCTCAGGGCTTAGTGTGATTCAATGGTTTTATCGATATAGTGGTACTGCTTGGGATGAGGACTGCTTAACTGCAGCAGCGTAGAGTTCAGAAAAGATGTATTTGTAATTTTGTCAGAGGCATTGAAGCATACTTGCCGGCTAAAATGAGTCTCTTCCCGTGGCTCCCACCTGGCAAACGGGAAGCTTGTGTTGAAAATCATGTTACTCTTTTGTCGACGTGTTTCGCTGGTGCTCTGCTCTCGAGTGCAGAGCAGGTCAGAGCGTTCATAGAATATTTGTAATATTCGGGAAGGGACTCAAGGATGACGGAGTGCAGCTCTGGCCCTGTGCAGGACAGCCCAGGAATCCCACCCTAAACCTGAGAGATTTGTCCGAACCCGCGCTGGGGCCAGGCCATTCCCTGTTCAGTGCCCGGCCACCCTCGGGGGGTAGAACCTTCTCCTGAAATCCAATCTAAACCTCCCCCAGCACAGCTGCCCTCGGCTCCTGCCCCTGGTCCCAGCAGAGGTCGGGGCTGCAGACCCCAGTGAGATCTGACCTCAGTCTCCATTTCTCCAGGCCGAACAAGTGACCACAGTTGCTCCTCATGTGACTCTTATGCTCGGTGCTTTTTTTGTCAAAAGGAGTAAAACATGTTATTCTCGTAATATCTCTTTCTTTTTTTTTTTTTTTCAGCAGACAGGTCTTTTCTGTGGTGTTGAATGGGGCCAAAGTAATGCAGAAATAAAGATGTATGCACACAAAACCAAAACTTGTAAGGCAGAATGGTTGGACCTGAGTTTTCACCATTGTGCTTATCACAGAAGACTGATAATTTTTGGAAGACCATACATACCATGAATTTGGGCTGCATGTGAATGTAGCTTAATGAAGAATGAATGCTGATGAACAAGTAGCATGAAGTGAAACTTGGAAATTTTCTAAGCCACAGTTTCTAACTGAAAGGTGTGGGTTTTGTCTGTCTTCAAAGATATCCTCTGCTGCCTGTGGTTATGGATTCACACTGCTGGCTTCTAATACCAGAGACATCACCAAAGTGTGGGGCATGGGGCTCAACAAGGATTCCCAGCTTGGATTTCAGAGAAGCAGAAGAGATCAAAGTAAGGATTTAAATGTTTTAAAGACTTACAGGGTGACACTGCAGTATGCTTGAGGTACAGGAATCTTCATGTGTTTGGAGCTGTGAAAAACATCAGGAGCCTTTGATGCAATCTCAGGTTATTTTTTTAAACAGATCTTCCTCTGAAATTTATCTGTGTTTTTGTGTGCTTTGTAATTGGTCAACACGTGCCTCTGTTCTGTACACTGCACTTAATTAGTTTCATCTGGATAGGAATGTAGCTGTTTATTCTTCAAAGTGATGTTGGTTAATCTGTGGCTTTTAATCTATAGTTTGATAGTAGGCACAGTGTAGTTAATAAAATCATTTTGGCAGGATGATTTGCTCGCTTCTGTGACCTTTGCACTTAAAAACTAAAGTCCTTTAGTTCTCATTCCCTCCTCAGTTAGGAGTTTTTTATACAGTCTGTGGGGCTTTTGTGAAGCTGTAGGGTTTATTTTAAAATTATTTTAATAGCAGGTTGCGTTTTGAAGGATAAACATGGTTTTCAGTCATTTTGTCTTACACCAGGCTCTCAAACTCCTTTAAGAAGGCGATTTCTGTGCAGAACATTGCCACCTACCACCGAAGACAGGAAAAACACAAACTTTCTTCATAGAGTGGCTGACTGCCTACTCATTCCTTCATAAACAGTTGAGGAAAATCACAATAAAAGCAGATTTTGTCATTATGATATATAAGAGTGTAATCCATCAAGGTAGGGTGTGCCTGATGTGGGCAGGAGATTAAACCTGGTGGAGAAGCAGAAGAAAATTGCAGCATGCTGAGGTTTGTGGTGCTGCTTTGTGGGGCGCTCTGGGTGGTTGTGTGCTCAAGCAGCAGCTGTAAAATGCAGGGGCTGCAGAAGCTTCTGCTCACTTCTGCTTTTAAAGGTTTCAGCTTTTGCTGGGTCTGATGTATGTGCTGATGTCTTAGGAGTGTCTTGCAGTTACCTTTTTTTTTATTATCTGACCTGGAAATTATTTTTGTCAGAGAATCCATTAGTAGGTTAAAGAGTTTTGCAGTTCAAGCCCTGCCAAGCAAGGGAGTGTGTTTGGTAAGATGGGTTGAAAATGTGGTGAAGATCAGTGGGGTTGCTACTGCTCCATGTTTAATGTACCCCCAGACAAGTTTTCCTTTGGGATGTGTTGCTCATTGCTGTTTTACAGACTGACTTTGGTGCCTGCTGCTTCCAACACTGCGTTGCTGAAGATACTTCATTTCCAAGCCTTCTGACTTTTAGATGGTTGCATCTAAACTACTGATATTTCATACTCACCCCCTGTTCCCTACCCACCTCATTGTCTCTTTCTCCAAATCCCCTCAGCAATGCTTACTACATATCCCAGTAGGATGTGTCTTTCTGCTGCAGGGAACAGAGAGAGGAAAAGGTTATTTTGCTTGGTGACTTCCAGGTGTTTCTAGACAGAGAGTTGGTTGTCTTTGAGTTCCTGCTCTATTGCATGGCAGGTGCTCACTATTGACAAGCTGCCTGTTGTGCTGCCTGTCCTCACATCCAGTAATGTCTTACTGTAAAAGACCTGTGTAGATTTTTTTTTTTAATTTTAATTTTTTTAATCTTAGGATTTTTGTTGTTATTTTTTATTTTTTGGCTGTTTTTTGTTGGTTTTTTTTTTAGTTTTTATTTTTATTGAAAGTAGCAAGAACCAGTAAAGCATTGCTGCCTGTATTGCTTTGGGTCCTCTGGGATTTGATTTCTCCTATTACAGTAACTTTGATATCAAGGCTTTTTATCTCCTCTTAACTTTTCCCCTAGTATTGATTTATGGTTTGCTGTTCTCCCCACCATGCTCCAGTTGACTGTAACTGATTCTGTATTCTTCAAGTTGCTAAATCTTTTTAAAGTATAGCATGTCACTTTTCATAAACGTTAGATGTCTTATTCACTATGAACCTAGTCTTGCTGGTCTTTCTTGCATTACTTAGTTCTGGAAGGGCCTGTAATCTGCTTTTCTTTAAGGTTTTTATCACCTTTCCTGCTATTTTTTTGTGATTGTTGCTCTTGTACCTTGTTTGCAATATCCCCAGTTGCAAAGAACGTTTGTATGTGATATTAAGCTCTAGTGATGCAGCTGTATTCACCAGAGTGGTTGAACATGTTGGTGAAAGCCTCAGTTTCACAGTTCTGCCACCTGAAGCCTTAAAAACATTCACCCTCTAGTAATGGTGGACTTTCATTTAGGCAGTGATTATTGACTTCAGCTATCTCCATAGCTTTTACCTTCTCTCTGTGATAAATCCCTGTCAGCCTCTTTGGTTAATGTCTTGGCTTTCTAAAATGTATCTGCTTCTATAACAAAGCAGAAGTGAGTGTGTGAATGTACAACAAGATCAACATATCCAAATATGTTGGATTTACTTTGTGGAAGCTGCTGATTTAAAATTGTTCTCTTTTCCTTAAGCTAAGGGCTATGAATATGTCTTGGAACCATCTCCAATTCCATTACCACTGGAGAAACCACAGCAAACTCGAGTCTTGCAAGTGTCCTGTGGGAGAGCCCATTCCCTGGTCCTGACAGATAGTGAAGGAGGTACAATGTTGCTTGTGCTGGTGATGTCTATGGGTACCTGGCTATGCTTTTACTAAAAGCTTGAAAAAAATTCTCTTCTGTCCTTCAGAACTATATCCCAGCTGGGCTGTTTGCACTGTAAATGGGATGCAGGCAGCTGTTGGCCTTTGTGGGATTGCTTCTGCGAGGGAAAGCCATGAGCTTCACTTGGCTCAAGTTGTAAATGTGTTGGGACTTTTTACTACAAGTTTTGTTTCTCTAGCCCCAGGTCTGGCTGAGTGCAGCCTGTCTTGTTCACTCAGATGTGTTTTTGAACGCAGATTTGGGTGGCTATGCCAGTACTCCTGTGTTACTTCCCCTTTAAGCCCCAGAGTGACATGTTTATTAAAGAAATTAATTAATTAGTAGTTTATAGAGAAGATCTTGTTTGTGAATTGTCTCTCCACATCTCTGGGAGCTCCCTGGTGCAGTGTCTCCAGTGCTGCACCAAGTGATCCAGTGCAGCTTCTTAGTGGGTGAGCTGGTTGGTTAATTGATTCCCACTCCTGTGGGATTGCTGATCTGTTTCTGAGTCTCTTTGACAGTGGCAGGATGAGCTGGGCAATTCCCCACTGTGACAGACAGCGGGCTTCAGGCACTGCTGCTGTGCCTACAGCAATACTGCTGGTGAAAATGGATTCAGTCACTTTCATTCAAGTGGCTTTTGAAAAAAGCTTATACCTATTTTTACATTGCTGTTCTCTACCTTTCAGACTTAGAACTGCCTGAAAATATTTTGAGGACCTGAAAAGAGGCTTTCAGGGGATTGGGCAGTAATAAAACTCATGTGTTTTATAATTGTTTTTCAGTTTTCACAATGGGAAACAATTCTTATGGACAGTGTGGCCGGAAGGTTGTTGAAGATGAAATTTACAGGTGAGAATTCAAAGATTGTGAACTTTCTTATTGTTGGAAACATAATTGCATGAAAACAACCCTGCAGAAAAACCTGAAGGTGGAAAAGGTCTGGTAGTATGAGCATTCCATTTAAAATTAAGGAGTCTGAGAACTGAGGCTTTTGTGCTGCAGGTGTCATACAAGCAGCCTTTGAACCCAGGCTTGGGCACTAGCACGCTGCTGACAACATTCACAAGAGACAGAATGTCAGCATGGGACAGTTCTTTTAGGGCATAGTGGGAGAACCCAGCCTTCATAAATTGCTTGAGGTAATTGGTGTTAGTAGTTGGGCTTTTTCCCTTTAGCTGCTCAGAGTACCTGTACTGTTCCTGAGGATGTTAGAAATGCCATTTAATTATGAAAGAGGCATCCTCTTGTTAAGTCTCTGTTGCATCTGCCTCTGATTCTAATGCTTTTCCTTCACTGGGCTTTTTCCACAAAAAAACCCTTTTTCTTCATTGGGTTTTTTGTGAGTCTCTCCAAAGCATGGGTTCAAAGTGCTCTGTATGATAGAGTAAGTGAATTTTTCTGATTCCTTAGTAGGACCAAAAATTGCTCTGTGATCACAACACATGGTCTGTAAAGTTTGAGAAAATAGCTGTAATTAGGTAGCTTTTGTTGGTCTTGATACTGGAAGTCAGTCATTGGATTGTTGATAATCCCTGGTACTGTGAAAAAATGACAGAGATGTTGGCACTACACTGTGCTCTGGGATATCTGGTTTACCTCTAGCTAACTGTAGTGTTTATATGGGTACTGCAGTATTGTGTCTGCTCATTCTAGACTAGGGACTGACTTTGAGGGTTGCCCCTACCCCCAGTCACAAGAGCTTATATTTTAAAAATGACAGTTTTAAACTTCTTAAATAAGAGAATATAGAATGATGCTTCTTCTTCGTGCAGGTATATTGCAGTGAAACTACATGCAAACAAATTTCTCTACCTGTGGTAATAAAATGGCTTTCAGTAGAGGCAGGTTTACCTTTGTGTTTTTTTGCAGTCTTCTGAAATCCTCTGTGTTGCCTTTTCTCTTCTTGGTGGTTGGTTGGTGTCCAGTGGAAGCCATCTCATTCATCAGCTGAAGGAATTTGACAGCAGAGTTGTCCAGGTGAGAGGATCACCGAGCTCAGTCCTGAGGATGAACTGGGAACCAGCTGAACAGCCAGGCTCAGAGGGTGGCAGTCATTGGCTCGGAGCTGAATTGAAACCAGTAACAAGTGTGGGACCCCAGGGGTCTGGGGTCCAGTCCTGTTTACATTTTCACTGGTGATCTGGGTCACAGAGTGTTCCCTCAGCAGACAGCAGATCACATAAACTCTGAGGAGTGACTGATAAACCAGAGGGTGGTGCTGCCATCCAGGAGCTGCAGAAATAGGCCTACATGAACCTCACCAGCAGTGGAAATGGCCAAGTCCTGTTGCTGGTGAAGAACGATTTCAGACACCACCATGGGCTAGGGGTGACTGTCTGGGAGGCAGCAGTGTGGAAAAGGCCCTAGGGTACACCAGGCTGACCATGACCCACAATGTGCCTTGCTGTAGAGAAGGCTAATGATGCCCTTGGCTGCATGAGGAGGAGTGTTACCTGCACGTCAATGAGAGGATTCCTCTTTTCTACTCAGCCACACTCAGAGTGCAGCATCTACTTTTGGGCTCTCCACTCCACTGCTCTCTTCCTGTTGTGATTTCTTGTTCCCTTTTGTCACTTTTATATTGCTTAGGAGTTTAAATTTTGTCTTTGCCTTTTCAGAAATGAGCTGTGAAACCATGACTTAGACTAGCCAGCACTAGGTCAGATTCCTAGGAGAGCAAGGGACTGCAGGGCAGCAGAAACACTTGCATGTACACCCACCTGATGAGACTGTGCTGTGGTTTGTCCTAAAACTGTTTTGAATTAGGCTTGCAAAACTTCTGTTTGGACTTTTCATGGTTTTAATTTTTTTAGGGGGATTGAGTACTTGGTACCTGCTTGTACTTTGATAATAGCAGTTATGTGCTTAATGTTGGTAGTCACTTTCTTAACTTGCTGATTAAATCCCTGTAATCTTTGTTTAAGTTTTAATGTCTGCTTTTGAATGACTTTTTCCTTGGCTTTAATTCATGCCAAGCCCGTGGCAGACATGATGGCTAATTCAACATAAATATAGATTTGAGAACAGCTGTGTGCCTAGAGTGCTTACATGGCAAAGAATCCATAGCAGTTTGTAGCTGGCATCAAGAATCATGTGGTTAGCATCCTGTGAAGGGGGAGCTCTTATTTACTCTTTGCTGCTTTTATTGTGTGATACTGCTGAATCAAGCTTTCTCTCCTTGTTTTGGATCTTAGAACAATTCAACTACAGCATCACTTTCCATAAAGAAAATTCTGCTGATTTCTGTGTTGTATCTTGTGGTTCTTGGCCTTTCCTTTCCCACGTGATCAGGAGAAAAAGGTCAAAATGTGAACTGATGGGCATCATAGAGGTTCATTGCTCAATTTATCTGTCACTAATGCTTCACTAAATCAAGTCTGAGCATGTAACCTTTCCTGACTGACTTCTTGTTTGTGTGCAGGTGGTGTGTGGGCAGGACCACAGTCTGTTTAGAACCAAGAAAGGTACAGTCTATGCATGTGGATGGGGAGCTGATGGACAAACAGGTAGGAACTCAGCTCAGCTTGCTTTTGAGGGAATTGATGAAAATAGCAAGCTGTCCTAATTGAGAAGTTGTGATGTGGATTTGTCATGCATGTATGGACAGAAAGGGGCTGCTAATGTTTCCAGTTGTGTGTAGATGTTTTCAGTACTCTTGTGTAACCAAACTGAGACAATCCAGTTCATTTTTGAGGACCTTTAGGATGCTGCCCTGGCAATCCAAGCGTGCACTTGGAGGAGAGTGTATCTGCTGTTTAAAGCTTCTGAGGGGATGTGGAAGTGATATGGGCAGCTTTGCCCTTCAGTTTGGTGGCAGCTCTGCCTTCCTGGTTCTTGTTTTGGGGTCTATTCTGTTATTTTGAACTGACAAGCAGCTTGGTAGCAGTTGCAGACAGTTTTAGCTTGGGATCCTTGGGCAGGCACTTTATGTGGTGGCTTTTGCTGCAGAGAACTTCCTCCTCACCATCATTCCTGCTGTTTGTTTTGCTGCTCCCAAAGATGAGTTCTTCCCATGATTCTTTTGTGCCAATATAGTGTAACCCAGCTGTCATCTATATTCTGGTCTCTTTTCCTGGCAGCATCTTGTCATGTAAAGTATTTGCTTCCCAGCCTCTTCTGCCATTTCCCCTGCTGTTGTCTAACTGATTGCAGTGTGCTATCACTCATGGCTCTCCTTGCAGAAGACAGGATGCAGGCAGGTTGTAAAACTTCATCCCTGTTGGGATATCTGCCTGGCTTGGTTATTGTTCTCCAAACACTTTGGTCCATGCAGACAAGAGATATGAGACTCTGCAGGGTGTGTGAGGTATAAAGTTGTGTAGTCCAGAGAGGTGGCTTTGGCTAGTAGCAGTGGTCTTTGTGATTACTTGTCTGTTGCAGCTGATGGACAGTAAGCAGTATGGACAGAAAGATTTATTTCAGAGGAAGGGTGATTTTGTTATAGCATGACAAAAATGGTCCTGTGCAGGCATCAAAAAATTGCGTCTGGAAAAAAAATTCTTCATAATCTCTACTTTTTTTCCTTTCAGGTCTTGGACACTATAACATCACCAGTGTTCCTACTAAGCTGCATGGTGACATTGCTGGAGTAAACATTATCCAGGTCTCTTCCTATGGGGACTGTTGTCTGGCTGTTTCAGATGAAGGAGATGTCTTTGGTTGGGGAAATTCAGAGTACTTGCAGTTGGCTTCTGTCACAGAAACCACACAGGTCAGTTCACCTGAGAGTGTATTTTTATGTGTTTCAGTTGAGCTGCTGGGCACAGAGTTAAAAACTACATGTTTCTCCCAATTCTTGGTTCTTTTGACAGCAGATGCAAACACCACTGGCAGGCTACTTTTACATAAGCTTACAAAACCAACCTGTCTGATGTGTTTATGTAGCTTTAGGGGGCAATATGTTTCCCCACTTTTTTAGGCAAAGGTTTGTGTCACCTCACCCCATTTTATTAGTCTAAGAACTCCATATTTTTCTTTCTCCAGCCAATGGACTTTGCACCAAATTGAGAGCCAGCTCAAGTGCTTTTGCTCATTTCAGGACAGGAATTAACTTTTTGGCTGGCTAATCTAGGATTTCAGGTGATACTACTTTGAGCATAGTGCTGATCCAGATGGCCCTTGGAAATTCCTTCTAGTCAACCTTGTATGATGGTGAATTTATCATGGACATCCTTAGTGGGTTTATAACTGAAATCCAGTTATATCTTTTATCTCACAGATAAAAGGTTTTTTTGAGCAAACTTAGATGTGGCATTGGTAAGGTGCTGTCTTTACACAAGGCATTGTACTACTGGGGTAATTAGGCTGTTGGTCTCATGTTACAGCTACTTGAGGAAATAGACTCAAGAAATTAATCAGTACTCGGGCAACTCTTGGCAGAAGTCTAAGAGCAGACAATTGTATTAGAATAGCTTTAGCAAAATTTTAGAAAGCTTTGTTTCCTGTCCCTCTTCTCGTGTAACCTTAATGTAGGGCTAAATGCTGAGACCCATAAGGCCTGAGGACAATGATCATGCACTGTAGCAGCTTTTCTGGTTGGGTGTGTGAAGGAGGTCTGTGTAAGCATCTGAAATGGATGAATGGCACATTTGCCAAAAATGAAAGTCAGCTAAAATACAGATGCAGTCCGAGTTGTAGAATGGCAGAGCTATGAAATCGAAGATTGCTCTTTACATGTGTCAAGCTGTCTATGTATGTTGTGTTGGGCTGTACCGAATAAGTGTGATTTTAAGTATTTTTTCCTTAATATGTTAAAAAATGCCACTGCAGACTGAATTTTAGTTATCTAATCCAGTGTGAAGAGTTGAAGACATGCTCACCTATTGACCTCCCCATTGTGTCTGAATTTAAAAGCCAGGGATAAGAAGCAGTTATTAGTCATTCTCAGGCTTGTTGCCATGCATGTAAGCTTTTTAGTAGGTAACTTTTTCCACCTTGTCCTCACCTTAATGAATTTCCTGTAGATTTTTTTTCTTTTTAAATTTTTGGGACTTGCACTCATTTTATTATTCAGGCAATAAAGGTTGTATCAGGAATCCAGTGTATGTAAGCGCCAATCAGAACTAGAGAACAAGTTAAAATGTATGTCTACTTTGCAGTTTACCTTGTCTCTAACAACTCTTCTGCAATCTTGTACAGGTGAATGTTCCCAGGCATTTGCCATTCAAGATTGGGAAGGTAAAGGAGGCTGCCTGTGGAGGGACTGGCAATGTTGTGCTGACAGGTGAGTTCACTTCTAGAATCATTCACTTTGGTGCAAGGCCACACAGTAGGTGGATTTTGACATTTTGAAACAAGTATCCTGTTTGCTGGAAACAGGGAAATTATGTTATGAGGAAAAAGCTGGGAGACTGAGAAATGTGATTTAAGAATATTGTAGAGGAGTTATTTTCACTAGTGCAGAGCATTGCTGCAGTGTGTGCTGTTGTGAGTGCTCTGCAGATGAGAGCAGGGGCATGGCAGCTGTTTGCTCTTCTGGTCTCTTGCTGGTCACACTGAGTATGGCCTATAATGAGTATGGATATAGGGAGGAAGTAAGGCAACACTTGAGAGAAAGTGAGCCCTTCAGACTCCATATGAATCTGGCATGTTTATAAATAATGAACTGGGATGGAAAAAAGAGAGTTTTGAGAACAGTGAAACTGTGCAGCAGGTCCTTAGTGGCTGTTCTTTGGACTATGGGTGTCTGGGGAGCATAGCTGGAGGCTTGCTGCATGAAGGAATGAGGGAGGGGATTGTATTACTTTCTTGAAGGATTATCTCCATGAAAATGCTAATATTTATAACAGGGGTGTTGTGATGGCCAGAGCTTCTAATATGAAGGGAACAGAGCTACCTGATTTAGAAATGTACTCCTTTTTATGCTGTGCAAGTGTTGCCTTTCCCAGGCACCAATGCCAGGCAGAGTGACATCCAGTTGCTGGTTTGGGCATGCATCAAAGAAGAAAGCCATGATAATAAACTCTCAACCTCTGTCCCATTAGTCAGTAGTATTTTATCCAGCTCACTCTCGTGTTTGCATTATTTCCCCATGAAAGGTCTGCCTAGGGGGCTTGATTTGCTTGCATAGCTTAGGAAAGGATTGAGGCATTTAGATGGGAATGCATTATTTGCAGATTTTAAATAATCAGAAAGTGTTAGAACGAGCTGGAAGAAAGGAGAATATCCCTTTGGTTCTGATTAACTCTTGGTTGTGGCATGAATTTCACAAGCACAGACTTTCTTACAGAATGTGTTCTTATTGTAATGCAGAAGAAGGAAATGTTTTTGTCTGGGGATATGGAATTCTTGGGAAAGGACCAAACCTAATAGAGACAGCAGTGCCAGAGATGATCCCACCCAGCCTTTTTGGCTGGTCAGACTTCAATCCAGACACCCGTGTTGCTCATGTTCGCTGTGGACTCAGCCAATTTGCAGCACTTACAAGTAAGTTTCTCACCCGGCTGTCATGGAGAGGTCATGTTGCTGTGTTATTGACAGAAGAGAAAAAAAAAGGCAAAAAAACCCACCAAAACCAAAGCAAACCCGAAACCAAAAAACCCTACACCCCAAAAAATGTACCCATCTTTCTTGAAATTGAAGGCACACTGGAATGCAGCAGCAGGGAGCCAGACAGCACATTTACAGATGTCAGCATGGTTCCTGTCCTATGTTTTGTGCTGAGTTATGCTTTAATTAAGAAAGTGTTATTTGTCTTTACACAAAAAACTTTTCTCATACACAAAATCCAGAAGATTTTTTCATTTTCCTGTATAAAATCAGTCAGTCTGCTGCACTTTAGCAGTTTAGAAAATTAATGTGATAAATGAACAAACTAAAACTGATTCTTAATGAAGCTAGGTATCAGTTTCTTGGCATTTCTGGCCAGCTGAGTTAGCAGCCTGAGGTGGGCAGACCCAAGCATTTAATATGCAAAGGTTATGATACTGTGCTCTGTGCACCCTGGGTGGGTTCTCAGCCTTTGAAGGTTTGAAATTTGAAAGACATTTAACATTAGACAGCAGTTTCAGAGATTCAGCTGGCAGCAGGAAAAAATGCCAGGGCTAAGTCCTTTGGGACAAACAATATGTGTGACACTGTCAGTTTGGTTGCAGGGTGCTTGTAAGTGGGCTCCCCTTGGTATTCAGAAAGAGTTAGAAACAGTGTTCTGGTTAAATTGTTAATCATACATAAAAATTATATTGTGTTTTGGTTGTTTCTGTTGTGTAGCTGATCTGTGTGTTTTCCTGAGGAGCTCAAAACTCTTCAACTCTGTTGAACACAAATGTTTGCCTTTCCCTAGCTGTCATTAGAAGGTCACTTCTTTCAGACAGTCAAATAAGCAATCTCCAGGTGATGGCTTGGGACAGATCTCACTGCCTTGCTTATTGGATTTGCTCTGGAGATTCCTGATACAGATAACTGCAGTTGTCTAACTTTCAGCACAAATTAGTCACTTCACACATGATTCCCTGGAATTTCTGCTGCTGCACTCTTCCTTCAAATAAAATTCTGAAGCATGTGATGTAAGAGGGGGAAACAAAGATTTATGCACAGAACTTGTTTCTTGTACTGCTCATTAGGCATAATTTTCTCCAAACACAAGTACATTTATTGTACGTTGAAGTAAATCTGGTAGCTGTCATGCTGCTTGTATAACCCTGTATACTCCCAGAAACACTGTAGCCACATTTGCCAGCATCATAAATAGAATTCTTCCTTTTTACTGACTCTGTTCTTTTCTGTTTTTTTTCTCCTGTGTAGACAGAGGAGAACTGTTTGTGTGGGGGAAGAATCTAAGAGGGTGCCTGGGAACTGGAAGAATGGAAGACCAGTATTTCCCATGGAGAGTAAGGATGGTGGTATTAAGGCCAAGAGTATATTCTTTGGCTAGTTTTTGTTATCCTGAGGGCAAAGATTATAATTTGCTGTGTAGTTTTGTTGAGTAATTCTGAAAGGAGTGGAAGGCTAAGATGATGTAGAATGCTTTGTTTTCCAGAGGTCCTTGTGGAGCCTGGGAATGGAGGTATTCAGTAAACATTTTAGTCTGCTATGCCAGTAATGATTTTGAATCCTGAAACATCTGGTGCTGTGCCACCACATCTGAACAGTTTTTATCTTCCTGCCCATAACATCTGCTTGCTACCCTTCCTGCCTCTTCCTTTCCCTTCTAACCTGCTCTTCTCTTTGTATGTGCTGCAAAGAAAACCATCAGTATTGGTCATCTGTCCAAATCATTACTCACCTAAATTAGGTAAACGTTTTGGTTTGTAGTGGCTACAGGTCCACATAGTGGTGGGCTTCCTTCCCATCTGTGGTGGTGGGTCAGTGGGCTGACTGTCAAGTTATCCAGGAGGTCCTTACTCAGCTGTCTCACAGTGCTTCCAGTTCCACTGCTTCCTCCCAGATGGCTCTGGGAGCCAGACTCAGTGGATGTAGAAGTGTCTTTGGTTCTGGAGTTCAGCATTCAGCCTAACAGATGCTCCTGGTCTCCAGGAAGGCCAAGTAGGAGATGAGGGAGGCAATCAGTTGGACCACCCTGGAGTGTCTGTCTGAACTTGCAGTAAATGTGTTTCTGTAGTATGCTTTCTTCTTTGTTTAAAAATGAACAAAACCAGACCAGCTCTGGAACATTTGCCTAAAATCACACTGCTATGGCTGGGTGGAATTTCTGAATTCATTTCCCCAAATGTAGGCATTGGGGGTTATGCTCTTTCAGACAGCCAGCTCCTGTCTGACAGTACTGTGCCAATGTGCCAGGATCCTTGTCTGTGACCTCCTGCCCTAGAAATAGCTGCTGTCCTCTCTCTTGGCTCTGAGGAAAAACTTGCTTTTTTAGACTCTGCTTTCCTCAAGTTTGAAGTCAGTTTTAAGTGAATAAGCTTCAGGAGTTAGGAACTGGTCTCTTAGCATCAAAGCACAAACTGCCGTAGGCTGAGTTGAGCCTTTGCCTTGTTCCAGTTCTTGCTGATGAAAAAAGAGGCAAATCCCTGTGGTGCTTGGGCAGATCCTCTTCCTGATGTCCTAGGTTATGCTCTGTTCACTTGTGCTGCTTCTACTGCTGAACAGATGGGCTGAGGCTCCAATCTCCTCACTGTCTGCTGGTGAGCCTGCTCTTCTTTTTCCTTCCAAAGCTTTATGTGCTTCTGTGAAGGAAAGAGAGGAGTATTTCACAGCTCAGTGCACAAGCCTGCTTGGTGCTGAATCTTGCTCTTTCTGTGTTTTTTAGTTGGCACTTGCATTGGTACAAATCCCTGTGAAATTAGTGGCATGTTGAGTGGAAGGAGGATGAGGAATAGGAACTGCCAGGTGTGAAGTATGAGCTTGATAAACAACCTGCTCTCCTGTGTTTCATCCAGGTGACTGTACCCGGTGAGGTGGTGGATGTGGCCTGTGGAGTTGATCATATGGTCAGCATGGTCAGGTCTTTCACCTAAGGATGCTGCTGGGTCTCAGCACTGTACCAGGGCAATGCAGGGACTTGGTGACAAGCTTCTTGGGAAGGAAAACTCATTTTATGAAACCAAGGGACTGTGAGCAGAGACAGCCACAGCAGTGTCTGGGTGCTTTATCGTCCCTGCATCACTGGAATGCTCTGCCTGGCTGCAGGAAGGAAGCACGTGCCCTGAGGAGTGTGGAAATGCAGGGAGTGCTCTGGCTCCTGCGTGATGAGCTCCCAGAGGATCTGAGGCCCCACCCAAGCTGGTGAGCCCCTCTGTGCCTGAAGATGAAGAGCATCTCCCTTAAGGAAGACTGTTATGGGATGAAATCTACAGCACAGAACATTGATACATGGACATTTCCTGTCACCAGCTCTGGAGTGTCAGCGTTGGGCAGAGCCAGACTATTTCTCAAGGGAAAATTTGGGTGGTTTTTAATTACTATTATGTGGAAGAGTGGTCATGCTAGGTCTAGAAGCCCAGCATGACTGTCCTGCATGGCCACCCTCAGCTGCACTGTGCCCAGGCTGTTGTCCTGTGCAGAAACTGGATGCACAGCCCTTGCTTGGAGGCAGTGATGTGTCTCTGGGCTGTTGATGGCTTTCTATGTTAGTGCTAAAGACTGAACACCAAAGGAACACATTCAAAGAGTGTTGGCAGGGGTAAGTACTATTAAATAAGACAGCAGGCTCTCTGTGCTGCAGGAGGACAGATGGATGGTGACAGAAGCCAGTCTAGCTTATTGAGGGAGGCTGGAAACAAAGCCCTGCAAAATCCTGCTCAGGCATGGATGTGAGCAGTGCTCACTACCCCTCAGGTACCTTTGTCTCCTTGTGCTGATCACACATCACTGCCTTTGATTTTTTTTTTTTAAATTCCCCACACCCTTTCTGTTTTCAGAGGTATGGCTCTCAGTTGCAATTAGCTGGGGATTTCAGGATTGCCTAGCAGGGGAAGGAGTCTTAATGGGTAAGCAGCAGAATTTCATTCCTTGGTACCTTCTTAGCAGTAAGCTGGTAGAGATGGGATGCAGTAGCTGTGAGTATCTGTAGCAGGCACTTACCCAATCTCACACCCAAGTGTGGGGAAACTGTCTCCTGTGAAACACTCCAAACATCAGGCAGAGTTGTGTCTTTTCTCTCTGTGTGGGATACTTCTAGTGTGCAAACTGTTTTGGTGGAATCCAAGCTAGTAGGTTTTCAATAAACTGATTATAAAATCTTTATCAGTAGTAATAGGAATATTCTTGAGCATGATTTGCTCATGCATTGATTGGATCTGCATTTGAAGTGCAGCATTTTGGTTCACAGTTATGTGACAGGAAACCACTTCTGTCATACCTGCAGGACTGATAGTGCTGCAGTCAGGCATTGCATCCATGGCCCCATGAGACACCACCATGGTGGCTTCATTAGATTAAATTCTGTATCAAAACTCAATGTGTAAACTTTACCTTGATTAAATAAGTTTTGAAGGGTTTGCATAACATATAGGAAAGTTGAACCAAAGTACATGGAGATAGAGACACCTCTCTTGAGTAGTAGTTTCTGTGTAACAGGTATTGCTGGGTGGGTGAGGCAGAACAGAAAGCTGCTGTGAAACTGGCAGACTTCACTACTCTGAGCTCCCATTTGGTTGGCTTTAATTTACACCTGATTCTACATGCAACTTGGGCCACTTGCAGTGCCCAAGCCTGTCTTGTTGGCCTTATGGGATAGGTTTGCCCTTTCAACTTGAGGAGGCTTATTAAACATGGGAAACACATAAAAAAACTGGTGAGAAAGGTGTTCCAAACAGTTCTCCATGGATGTTGCTGTTGAGGTGGGCTGGTTAGTGCCCGGCTCTCAGCTGCTCCCATTCCCAGCTGCTTCCCAATGCGCCTTGGGCCTGCTGAAGAGCTGGGTTGAGTCCTTGTGTTGCATTCTTGCTGTACAATAAATTGCAAATTCTGTGTTACTGAGATGCCAGTGAGGTCCTCAGCCCTTAGTAGGAGTGTTGTATGGCTTAATGCAGTGATGTTTGTGCCTCCACTGTAGTGGTTGTGGGCATTCTCAGACGTGCTGCTTGTGGGAGCAAGGTTAATGGCAGTGAGGGCAGCAGGCACCAGCACTTACCCGTGGTTTGGTTACAGTGTGGCTGGAGAATTTGACTTTAGCCAGGTGACCTCAACCTGCTGTCATCCCTCCCCCATCAACAGGACAGGGAGAGAGAATCTGGAGGAAAACATACGGGTTGGAACAAGAACAGTGACCTGTTACCATCGTGGGCACAGCAAACTCAGGCTGGGGAGATTATTTTATTGCCAATGAAATAGAGCAGGGTAATGAGGAATTAGTATGTTTAAATAGAAGTCTAACAGTGCCTTTGCCATACATCTCCCTTCTTCCCAGGCTCAGCCCTGCTCCTGACTTTACTACTTCTTCATCTCCTCTACTGACCCTTGTATTTACATGGTTGTCTGTCTCAGATTTTTACTCCTTTCTTTTGGCTGCTGCTGTGCAGCAGTTTTTCTCCTTTCTAAAATACAGTTCTTTGAGAGCTGCTGTTGCTGATGGCTCAGTGTTAGCTCAGAAAATGAAAATACCCTCTTCCCTGCCACACCCCTTTGTCTGTTGAGGGCAGATCCAACCTGTGTGGCTCATGCTCCTCCTGCAGGATCAGGGCCACACAGGAGCCCAGCTGTGCTGGGGTAGCTTCAGGTCACTGCCACTGTGAACTGCAAAGCAACTTTGCCTCATTTTGTCCTTCAAAGTATGGCAAAGTAGACAGCCCAAAATATACCAGCATCCTAAATATACCTGCAGTGAGGGAGTGTATGGGCCAAGGAGGCACATGGGGAGCAGCTCAAATTAGAACTAGAATAACCTACTTGAATTGGCATTGATGACACAAGTGATTTGCCCTCAGATCAGCACTGTGCTGGCGTGTTTGGCTTAAAATAGCCCAGAAGGGCTTTGGGATGGTCCCCTGGTGCAGAGCCCTGTGCAGGAACAGCTCCAAGCACTGCAGTGGCCCAGCAGGGTTGCCACAGCAGCTGAGGACTGCAGGAGCTGCAGGAAGGATGGGGGAGAGATTCAGGTCCAAGTGTACCTGCACAAGCTCAGGCCTGCACACCCCACCATCCCAAGGGGTCCTGGCAAATCCCTGCTGGGGAGCTGAATCCAGCTGGGCTGCAGCCCCCACACAGCAAAGCTGTCTCATCTGTCAGCAGACTGCCCCACTGGGAGTAAAACATCAACACCTGTAAGACAGAGATTATCTTAGGCACTTGCTGTGTTACAGCAGACTTTTCTCTACAGGATCCTTCAAAAACAGATGAGTCAGAGAGCTAATAATTAGCCTTAGGCATTCAGAATACTCCTGGAACAGTATTACTTCACTGTGCTTCATCATAACTCATAAAAATACATTTTTGTAACATTTTTTGCAAGGGGCAGGAATCTCCCCCATCTCCCTCCAGTGTCCCAGCACCTCCTGCTCAAAGGGGTGAGCCTGGGCAGGTGAGGTAAGAAAAACACTGATAGGAGAAGGCATCAGTGTCTTTGGGGTCTGGACACCAGTCCTCAGTCCTGTCATTTAACCATAGATGCCATTTGCTTCTGTGGGTAGTTGCAGGCAGTGTTAAAGGTTGTGTGGCAGTGTCTGTGCTTACTCATTTGGGTTTTTGTTTTACTGGATTAAACCCTTGAGGCAATGCTCTGCATTAAGGCTGCATTCCATATTAACACTCCCTCAGTTAATTTCTTACATGAATGTTTTAACACTTGATTATAAGAGTAAACAATGGATTACACTATACTAAAAAGGAGATGCTTTTCTTGCCTACAGTTTATGTAGATGAGCTGCTTCCCTTTAAATGGTTAAAACTGTAATAGGGTGATGATATGTCTGATTTCACTGTTTTTCTTGCACACTTCACACAGGTTATTCAGCTTTTTCTTGCAGACCATGTGACAATGGTGCTGTGCACCACGCTGCTGTCTGAGACTCAGGACCCACAGTGCCTGCCCTAGAATAGTCCATGAGGAGGCTGAGTTTGTTCCCCTGCCTCTGCTGGGGTGCAGGGCTCTGGGGGTGTCCTGCCAGCATCTCTGGGGGGCTGCCCAGACTCCTGGGCACTCTGCAGTGAGCAGGTAAAACTGCATCTGGCAAATACACTAGCAGCATCTCACTGACCTCTTATTTGCAAAGAAGAGGATAGGGCAGGTTTGGTGGCTTCCAGAGAACAGCTGGAGGATGGAGATGGTGGTGGGTTTCATTTTTAGGGGTACAGTACACCCAGAGACAGGACCTGGCCACCAGAAAGACTTAGGGATGTCTGGTGCCCTTCCTAAACTCCGTGTGTGTGAGTGACACCTAACATGGCTGTAGGTGAAATAAATAAGTTACATCTTGCAGACAGTGCCAAGCTCTGCTTTATTTTCATCAGTTTGATCAGTACAAAAGCAGACAGCATAAGTTCCACTTTTTTTTCTTTTTCAGTTTAATTACTTTACAAAGTACAAAATATACTGTCATTTATTTTGGAACATTAGGATTTTTTCTTTCTGTTTTGTTTTTTCATACAGTACATAAATCTCAGCTTTTCAGCATCAGACCAGCAAAGAATAGCAGCGTGTGCACTTGCTGGGAAAGCAAAGCAGCCACTTCTCCACGCCACACAATGTCCAGTGCATGATCCCAAGCTGCTGCCACCACTCCCTGTGCCTGGTGGTGTAAAATCCCCCTTGTGCAGAGGTGATGAAGGCAGCTGCTGCAGTCAGGCTCCCCTGTGCTTTGTACCCCCAAGCTTGCAGGGACTGCCCACCCACACCTGCAGGGCCGGGCCCCACTGAGCCCCACTGAGCCCCTGGGCACTGCTCACAGGGCAGGTGCCAGCAGCTTTCCATGGCTGCAGCCCAGAGCAGGAGCTGTGCCAAAGGCCCTTGCATGGGCAGGATTCCCCCACCCTGTCTGTTTATGTCAGATCTGGTAATTCAAAGGAAATAAATATACTTTTTTTTCCACCCTCCCCAGTGAAAGGCTGCATGGGGTTTCTGAGAGGTGAGCAGGGAGGAGAGGTTGCTAGAGTTTGGGGTTCCCAGCCCCACTTCAGCCTGTTTTGTCTGAGGCCAAAAGTGGTATTTTACTTAGAGAGCATGATACATAAATAACTTATTAAATAAAAAAGTCTAAAGATCTGTGTTTCCTCCTCAGGCTGCCCAGCACAGCTGTTCTAAGCAGCCAGGGATGAGAGACAGACCCTGATCCAAGCTGGGCAACTTCTGCACCAGGAGCATCTCTGGCCTCTTGGCAGTTCTAGAAATTTGGGTTCGTGTTGTGTAGGTATCTGGAGGGAATTTGGGGTCCCTACAAAGGGGAGGAGATACATGCTCAGACTTGTTCAGGCCACTTGAGGCAGTAATAAAGTGGCTCTGTGCCAGCCCCTGTTAGCCAGCCCTGCACGGGAGCAGTGCAGTGGGGCTCTGCCCCTCCTGTGGGACCCTGCAGGGTTGGTGGCTCCCTGCAGTTCAGCCAGAGGAACCAAACCAAAAATCTGCCCTAAGCACCGATGACAGCGAGGCTCCTCCTCCCTGTGTGCAGCTCTCCCTCAGAACTAACCCTTTCCTCAGAACTAACCCTTCCCTCAGAACGAGCCCTTCCCTCAGAACTAACCCTGCTGCCTGCCCCGTGGTGCCCAAACTGCAGGAGCCAGGCAGGGCCCTGCTGTGCAGCCACAGCCAGACTCACTGCAAGGTGGGGCTGCAGGTGTTCCCTAGGCACAGGGGCACCAAACCCCAAATCCCAGCAGCTGGAGGAGCTGCTGGCATCACTCGGTCCTGGGAGCAAATGGAGGTGATCACCTGCCCTCTAATTGTAATGGAAACAAGGGGAGAATGGGTTATGTAAGGAGGCAACGGTGAGGGAATGAGACAGGCTCTTCCAAAGGCTGGAACAGAGCTGCTGAAGCTGCATCCTACTTTGAGTTACTGCCTGGCAGCCTCTTCTGCCTGCCTAAGAGCCATGGTTGTCCTAGTGCTTGGTTGGCAGGACAAGTGTCCCCTCTCTGTCACTGCCACCCCCAGCTGCTGCAGAGGCAGTGTGGAGGAGGAGATGCACTGGCAGAAAATGTGGCAGCCACTGTGCTAAAATGAACACCCTGCTCCTCAGCTCCATGTCTCATAAGCCCCAAAGTAAGCCTGGAGCCCACACACACAGGAGGGATAACAATGCCCAGCCACAGCCAGCAGGGACAGGGCACACAACCCTGCTGGCTGTGACACCCTCGTCCTGGGCTGGAAAGAGGCACTACCCTGTGCATTTCCAGGCATTAACCTGAGCATAATGGCACTTGGATGCAGTTCTCACACTATTATCAACAACCATTGGATTGGTAGGATTATTTTTAGCAGCCAGGAGAATTCTGGTGAGAGGTAGGGGCAGACCTGGATCCAGCACAGCCAGAAGAACCTAGAAGGGACTGCCCTGGAATGCTGATCTGCCATGGTATCAGTGGAGCAGTTTGAAATTGGAGAACAAATAAAAACCTCAAGGATGGAAGCACTGGCACATGGGACTGGCAGGGACCTGGGTGGGTGGGGTTTGGGGGAGAACGAGGGCATGACTCGTGTTTAATTCCATGATATGACTAAAGAAATGGCTGAAGTCATTGAGCTAGACCAGACAGTTCCTAATGGGTGAAGGAGAAATGGGGTGCTCCTCCTCCTGCAAAGCCACCTTCTTTGTACTCTGAACCTCCTGCATCAGCACCAGCCAACTAACACACAAAACCAGAGGTTTGCTCCCAGGAAGGAAATGTTAAAACTTTCTTCAAGAGCAGCCTGGGTCAATAGCCTGTCTGTCTGTCTGTATGTACTGCTGCAGGGGAACATCCCATGCCCAGGTCCTGCTCTGTGCAGTTGCTCCTGCCTAAAGGCAATGTCCCACAGCTGTAAGAGCACCACCAGTTCTTTAGGTAATTTCAGTGATCTCAGAAATTCAACCCCATCCAAGGCTGCCATTAGAAATAACTGCAAGAAACAGCTGCAACAAAGGCTGCAGATTTTTTTTTTCTTTATGTATAGCAACCCCAGACTCCTTCTTTCAATGTCCCACATGGGAAACACTCCTGCTTTTGCTACAAATCTGCAGAGGAGACTGCTGCTTTCCTTCAGCAGAAGGGAAATTCCCTTTGCATTCCCTTCCAGCTGATGGGAATGGCTCTGTGCAGGCAGCAGGGACACAGAGGATGAGGAGCTCTGTTTACTGGGGCTGTCTGAGCCTTTCAGCTGGCAAATGGGGCTGAACTCCTCTTTTGGGGCCCAAAGGAGCAGTAATGCTCACAGCAGCCAGCCTGGCAAGGGGGTGCTTCCCTTCCCCACAAGGACCAGGGAACTGGGGACCTGTAAAATGGTTCTCAAGTAACAAACGAGCGAGTAGGAATCCTCAAGCTTATTACTGTAACTGCAGAAAGCTGCTTTAAATCCTCGGGATGCTGAAATAGAAGCAGAAAGCCAGCCAGAGCAGGGGACTCTAAACTGCAGCCTCCTGTGGCATCTTCAGACACTGCCCCTGCCACAGCCACTCAGGGAGGGAAGAAGCAGCCACCCCTGCAAAATGAAGGATGAAAGGAGCCCTGGTTTTGGCATAATCTTCTAGGGTTGGGAGGACCCCAGTAAAACCACTGGGTCTGCCTAGAGAGGGACATGGCCCCTGCTCAGCTCTCCTGTGGTACAGGCAGAGGACGGAGCTGGACACAGGGGGAATGACATGCTCCTGCTCTGCTCTCTAACATATTTCAACATTTCAATCCTGCCTGATGGGCATCTCTGTCCATGTCTGCTCCAAAATCCACCCACAGTTCATTTACAGATATTTGCAGAAAGCTAAAAATGGATGAAAACAAAACCCCAAGGGAGCCCAGGGCATTAAACAGCTGCTTTGCAACTGTCCTGCTGCACACAGCTGGGACAGTGCTGAGCTGTGCAGGCAGGGAGGAGCTGTGTGGCTGCCATCCCTCTGCCACTGCCTTCACCTTGGCTGAAAAATTTGGGCACTCCCAGCTGGGAGGATGTGCCAGGGCTTTGTGTTCCCTGTGGCCAGGCCCTCTGCAAACTCAGAGCATGCAGAAGCACAAGTGATGGCTGCAAGAGAACTGCAGAGCAGGGGGAAGCTATTCCATGTCATCTGCAGTAACAAGGTTATTTGTTAATTCATTCCCAGGCTTTGAACCCGAAATGACCAGTGCTGTCTGGAGAGACCAAGAAAGGATCTTGGCGTATGCATGTTCCAAAGAGGTACAGAACCCTAAAATTCATACCCTAAAATGAGAATGTACTTTGACACATAATTCATCCATTCCTCCTTCATATACCAGGGGCTGTGCATTGCTCTGTGCTCACCAGAGCATCTGCAGAGGCTGTTACTGCTGCAGCCAGGATTTGCTGATCAGCATCCAGTGCACGTCTCACACTGCAGAACCCCTTTCTCTCCTTCACCTTTGCTAACTGGAGCTGATAGTTCAGCCCAGCTGTGCTTCCCAAGGATTAAACAAAGGAGGCCAAGGACAGCAGAGTAACACAAGATTATCCTCACAGTCAAGTGTTCCCCTTCCAGGGAGCCTGGGAAGGTCCCACAGCCTTGCTGGTTTCCACACCAGTTCAGTGCTGCCAGAATTCCTGAGGGATTTTGCTGGCCCCTGACACATGGAAGAGTACAGATAGACAGACAGATGCACTCATGGGGAGAAGGTATGGAAATCTGGAGGCAGGTTTGCACATTTCAGCCAATGTAAATACACCCCAGCACATGCTACAATGTGTAAATACTATTTGGCAAAGGATTATTTGGTTTACTCTCCTGCAGATAACAAAAGTTTAATCCAATCCAATGTTTGCAGGCAGGACTGAAACAGGTAAGTGAGATACCTTAAGCTGCTTACTGGAGATGTCCACAACAGTCAAAGCAACAGAGGGAGAAGAAATCCTCATCAGAAAATGACTTCTTATCCTCAGTGGAATGTTGCTGGGGGACACCTTCTTTCAGGAATGAGCAGCAATGCTCAGCCTGAGGCCAAACAAAGAATTTCTCCCTTTTCATTAACAGAAAATACCAATTATCCAGTGCTGACAGGAACACTTGTGCTCAGTGAACAGTGAGTGTACCAGTGCAGGACCCAACAACTCCAATTCACGTTGCTGACCTCAAAATTAAGGAGTTTGGACAACCTGATGCTCTTGAACAGCTGTGTGGGTATATGGATGGGGAAAACCACAAGGATGGGAGGAACCCCTCTGGCCACAGTACCCAATACCATCATCACATCAAAACACAAGGTGATTTTTGGGAGCCTTCCCCAGCAGAGAGGCTGAGCACCAGGAGATATTCTAAATATGCTCAGGCTGAGCATGGAGGCTGGGCAGGGTGGGATGATCCGTTTCAGTCAAAAAGGAGAAGGAAAATACTTTGGTGTTCACAACAACAAGCAGAACTTTGATATCTCCATATGTGCACAACTAAAAATCAACATTTTAATTCTTTTGCATCCCTCAGCACTCCACCTATCCCTGTTCTTCCCATGCCTGTCACTAAGAGAGATCTCTGCAGACCCTGCATGGCCACATGTGGATGTGTGGGACAATGCCAAGTCAGACCTAGATGCCTTCTGGAATAGAGGAGCCTGGGCTGACCCCCTGGCCCATCTGCAGCCAGGCAGTCACAGCAACATCAGCTCACAGCAGGGATGGGGCCCCTTTGTAAGAAAAAGAATTCAAGCTTTGTACAGAAAAGCTGAGAAAAAGACAGAAAACTGCTTCTCAGAGGCAGGCTCTGATCAAGCACATGCAATTCAGCCTTTTATGTCCCAGACAGCTTCCCAACCTTCACAGGATGTCAGAGTCAGACTGCTCAACCCTCATCTCACAGACACACTGTGAGACTTGTGGGGCAGCCGGTGGGGGAATGTGTCAGGAGCTCATCCCTGAAGGCAGCAAATCCTGCAAATGCAGTGCAATGGCAGAGATCTGAGCAGAGCTGCTCCTGCCTTGCCTCTCTCAGGGGTCTACACATTCCTCAAAGCACCAAGAGCACCAGGGAAACACCTGGGTGCTCAGGGAGCTACACTGCAAGCTCCTCTGCCACACACTCCCTTAGTTCCTCCCAGTGCTGGCAGGACAAAACATCATGCTTCAGAAAAATAAAACCAGATACACTTCTCTTGGATGCTTTGATTGGCTGGAGCCATCAGGACCTCCCAGCAAAACTCAGAAGTCCTCACACCCAAATCTCCATGGCACATCTTAAAAAGCAAATCCCTGCTCAGTGTCATGTGCCAGCCCAAAGCAGGACCTGACACCAACAAGGTTTTTGTGAGAGAGGAGGATTGATTCACCTCTGAGCAGCAGCCTGAGCCCTGGGAATGCTGACAGAGAACTTGGAGTTTAAAACACATTTCAGAGCAGCAGTATGATGAGTGTGCTTTATAAATAGCATTGTCATTAGGTGAGTCTTAATACTTATGTCCCCCACTGCAGGTGCTGCAGCCAAACCAGGTATTTCCATTAAGGCCTCCCCACGTGAGAGGCTGATACATCCCATCTACAGCACAGCATTGCAGAAACTCCAAACAATGCCTGGAAAGAAACCGAAAGCTGCACAAACCTGTGCAAAGGTGTACTTGGGGGGCAGCCTGAAAAATCAGCTTCAAAGTGCCAGAAGATCAGTGGCAAGGCAGCACCCCTCACCCCACCACCACCCCACCTTTGGTGAAGTGCAACTGAAATAGGAAAACAGAATGTTTCCCTACAGGGGCCCTAACAGCACTCCTGGTCAGCAGAAATCTCCAGTGGTGAGATGCAAAGACCACCCACTTCCAGTGCCTGGCTTCAAGCAGCCTCTTCTGCTTTTAACAGGAAAACACCCTGCACCACTTCCACCTATTTAAAAATAACCCACTGATTTCAGCTCCTCGAGGGCCAACAAGTATGAATTCCCCAACAGATACCAGAGCCCTGCACCAGCCATGGGGCAGACAGATCCACCTGGAAATCTTCTACACCTGCCCCAGGCTCGTGCAGAGATGCTGGGGAAGCCACCAGGGACCAGCCACCAGGAACAGCCACCAGGGACCAGCCACCAGGAACCAGCCACCAGGGACCAGGTTTTCCAGCAGCTGGAGACCTGGAGCAGCTCCTGCCTTGTCTGGGGGAGGCAGGCAGTGCTCTGTGCCTGCAGGAGCTGGGGCCCCACTGCAAACCCCCAGCCAGGTGCAAACAGAGCAGCCCTACTTACAGGCTGAGGCAATTTAGGGTAGCAACTAAAACATCCAGAGAGAAAAAGGAGTGGAGTTCCTTCAGGCTCTGTGCTTGAGACACCAAACTGGAGAGGAACAGACTTCTCTGAAGCAGGAAGGGAAATCCAATGCTGCTCCCAGCAAGCAGAGGAGTCCCAGCTTTGCTTCAGGTCAACTTCACTGCTGCTCTTCACTAAACAAAAAAGCAAAAGTGGGACTAATACTCATATTGCCCATTATTTTAATGAAAAATAGATGGTGATTAAATGTGTGTATACATTACATTGATGACTAAATGTGTGTATACATAGTGTGTACTCACTACACAGATGCACACAGAAGGGTGTGTGCCCAGAGTACACACACATACGCTGTGCATGTGTCTGACCCTATATTGCTTGAGTGCCCACACCATGTACAGGTATTTAAATGGGTATTTACAGGTGTGCAATAGAGACACACTGTGGATTTCTATGGACACACTTAAGATGTATATATATGCACACACTTGCTCAGTAGAAAGGAATTTGTAGTCAAATTCTAATTGGGTTGAGGGAGAAAGACAAAACCCTATTTAATAACACAACTTGGAAAAGTTGAGGCTTCTAAGAAAATAAAGGCCTTGGAGAAAGAAAGAGAATGCATGAAGGCCATGCTCTCCTCCCCTGCCTGCCCCTTTCTGCAGGGCTGGAAACACTTTTGCATTTTGCAGTTTGAATTTTTATGCAAGAAGAGGAGGGAGAGGCTGGGTGCTGAGAGAGTGGGAGCTGTGGAGCAGCTTTATGAGCCTTCCCCACTTTGGGTTCACTAAGCACTGTGGTGTAATAGTGTGGTGGTATTATTATTACTATGAATGTATTTAATGAAGCCCCTACAGAGCCTTTCCTGCAGTGCAGGTCTCACATGCACAGTACTGTGCAAGCTTCCACTGATCCTGACTCGAGGCTGGTGCAGGGACAAGGTTCCACCAATTATGGTCACATTTGGAGTATCTCAGTTCCCACTGGAAAAAAATATGAAGGGGATACTAAAGGGAAATCATTAAGTTGTCTGAAACAGTTTTCCTGGATGTCAGGACAAAAAGATAAAAGGAAATAAAAAGGTGAAGCCAAGGATGGTGGCAGCATCAGAGTGCCTCAATAGCATTTTACATTCTGTGAATTTTTCAGGCCAACTTTCCCATGCTGGGACATCAACCTTCCTTTGGAAGGTTTGAAATACACAGAGCTTTCTACAGATTGCACAAATATAAGGCCGATTCCCTTGGGGAAAAAAAAAAAAATTACAAACATCAGCGTCTAAAATAGCCTGAGTAAAATGTTAGAAAATTAAACCTTTTTTTTTTTCTTTTTTTTTTTTTTTCTTTCATTTAAGGCTCAGTGAAGTTGTGGATTATTTCAAGTTAATTCCTTCCTATCCATGCTGAAGTCCTTTGGAAGCAGCACTGGCACATGCAAAGCAACACTCGGTACTCTCTGCTGCCAAAACTGGCATTTCCCAAAGGCTGACAAAACCCCAGAGCAGAAGGAAGACCTGTCCTGATGACTCTGGCATGGTGGCACCATCCATGCACACAGCACAAACTCAGGCTCAACTCGGCAGCTGGGCAGCAACTCAGCATCCCCCTCCTCCAAACCATGCTGCCAACCTGCCATGCCCAGGAGTAACCCCTGGCAATGCCTGGGGTGAAAACTGCCACTGGCCTTGCTGCCACTGCAGCCCAGCTCAGTGCCCAGCTCTGGCAGAGCCACAGCAAACATCTCCAGGTGCTGTCAGCACTGCACTGTGCAGCCTGTGCCTGGTCCTTGTGCCAGGACACCAAACATCCAGATGCCACACTGAGAATAAACCCTTAGTCCAGAAATCTGGAGTGAATATAAACATATCATGGGACAAGTCTGAAAAGCCATGCAAAGGAACAGCAGAACATCCTGTTTGGTAAAGCACTGAACGTCTGCCTCAGTGCTCCTCAGCAGGGATGCTTTCGCTACAGTAGGGCCAACCAAGGAAAGACATCCATGCTTTTTCCCATGCATGCTCTGACTCCTTGTCTAGATGCCACAAAACATCCCACTGGTGAAAAATCAGATTTGAAACTCAGTTGGAATCCAGTTTCTGAGAAACCACAACTGCTTGGCCCAACTGTACTGTGAAAGCAGAACTAATCAACTGGCTGTGTGTGTGTTTGCTTGTCCTACACACCAGTAAAAACCATGCCCATGGCATGATCCCAGGTGTTTGCTTCCTGCCTCCAGATTAGTGCAGAACCCTGGCTCACAGCTGTATGTGGCACAGCCTCAGGAAAACCCTGCCAAAGGCTGTCTCTGAAGCACAACTGGAAAGCCCTCAGGAAAATGGCAAGATCTGCAAATTCTTTATGTCAAGCCTGAAGTGGAAGAAGTTAAGAAATGCAAGATAAGCTGGGGCTGGTAATCAGCAAAGCAAGGCTCTCTGCAGGCAGTTTCTCCTCTCACCAGCCCTTGCTGCATGGTCACACTTGGGGCAGACTGCTGGCAGCCACACCTTGGCTAACCCTTCTCTCCAGCACTGGTCTCTGCTGTCCTCCACAGAGCTGGCAGCAGCCACAGGCACCCCCTGGACACGGGTGCCACTATGGGCCTTGATGCCAGGCTCCTGCTGGCCCTCAGCTGTGGTACAGGCCAGGAGAAAACAGCCTACTGCTCCCCCATGGGAAAAGCCCCATCATCTCCCTGGGACAGGACCAGGTGCGAGCAGGTTTGAGGCGTTTTCAGCAGCAATTTCCACCTGTGTGATGAAAAACTGCAGGAGGCTCCCCACGAGACTCAGGCACCCTCCTGGCCCTGGCAGAGGCAACCAAGAGCTGTGGCTGTGGCCAAGGGGCCTGGGATGTGCAAGACCCCGGGCACACTGCAGGGGAAAAGCCTGAGGGGACAGGAGAAAAGAGGCCCTGAGGAACAAGGGCTGGGGGAAGGCTCTGATGTGGGATAAGGGGACAGCACTGTCCTGGAGCAGGGGATATGGCAGGAGAATATTTGGAGCAGTGAGGGAGAAACTGGAAAAAACTGACCAAAAGTGGCCAAGTTTCAATGCAGACACAATCTGGGTGACACCACCTGCCAGGAGCTGGCCAGAGCTGAGCTCCCCCTGCCCAGGATTTCTCAGAGCAGCCAGGCTTTCACTGCAGGGAGAAAGACAAAGGGGAAATGTCAGACAAGTGGGTATTTTTCTCTTTTCCAACACCAAATTGTTCTGTCAGGAGAACCAGAACCCTTTGCATCCTATCTCAGCACAGGCAATGATGGACAGTCCTCAGGCAGTCTGATGCAAGGAGACAAGGCAGAACTATGCGACGTCTTTTCTGTTTAATTCCATATTTCACTTGGTTTCTGGTTTTCAGGGCTCAGCAGCCTGTGCCAGGGCCATCCCTGCTGGGTGTCCCTGGGTGTCCCCAGGCAGCTCCTTCCACACTGAGCACAGCCAGGCTTCACTTCACCTTGGAGCTGAACATCAGGAAACCATACAAACTCCCTTTCCTCCTACCCCTCATTCATAAATTTAATAAAATAACAATAATAATAATAACAATAATAATAATAATAATAATTAAAACAAAGGCTTATTGGAGCTGTTTCTGCTCAACTTTCCACAGTCTCTTTTCATGTCACTCTCTGTAATCAGATTTTTCAAGAAATACTGTGAGAAAAAAAGAATAATAATAATAATTATTATTATTATTAGAATAATAAAAAGCATCTGGAACCAGCTCAGAAGATTTCTAATGCTTTTCAGCTTGACTGACTTGGAGTGCATTGACCACGCCATTTATATTTTCTTCAGGTACCTGCAAGAAAACAAAAAGAAAGGTCATGTTCAGCAAAAGGGGTGACAAGGGAAGGAGAGGCAGGAGACAAAGGCAGACACTTTGCTGTTTTTTACCCCTGAAGTTCACTGAGAAAAGGCTCCAGGGACAAGGACACCCCTGTTCACCCATGGGACCCCCAGAGCAAAGGCTATAAGTGGGATCAGAGGGTTTGCTGCTATGTGCTGGATGCTGGTGGGAAGCCAATTATTTTGGGGTTTCTCTTTCTCTCTGCTTTTCCTGTCCCCTCCTTTCCCTTGCTTTTGCTGGTGAAGCACTTGCTTGCCAGGAGCTCACTCCAGCTGCCTGTGCTGATGGTTTATGGGCTGCCCAAGGGCTCCATGGGGTTCTCAGAGAAGGTTTGGGACCTCTAAGTGTGGGTGGGAAGGCCCTGGTGGGTGACAGGAGAGCTACCAGTCTGTTTGTGGTGCTTTCTCATCCAGCCTTGTGAGGAGATTTAACCATAGAAGTCTGTGTTATTCATGGTGTATTTTTCATGCTTACTGCAAGAAAAACCTCTTGTAACAGAAGATGCAAAAAAATCTCAGAGTGACTGTCACTGGCAGAAAAGAACATCAAAAGTAAAGTTACATCTGGCAGAAAAAGTGTGTCTGAACTCCACATAAACTCCAAGACACTGGCAGATCTTGAAAAATGGAAAGAGGACTGAGGGAAAAATAAATTATCTGCAAGTTTCTGCAAGAAGCCAATATAATTCATAGCAAGTAAACTGAAGAAGGAACTGTCTCTTCTACAAGGTATTCAAGGCCAAGAGTACAATACCCAAATTCACTGGACACTCTCAAGAGCTCAGACAGTGGAAATACAACTGGTTGTGTCTTTCTGTGAGGCTTTTAACAAAACTGAGGAAAAAGCCCATGAGAAATAACAAGAAAAATGTTCAATTTTCCAATAGGAAGATGGAATAACAGAAGTCAACTCTGATGATGTGTGAACAGAAGTCATTTGGAAAGGAAGAAAATAATCTTAAAACAAGTATACAGCAAACTCTTCTGGTTTAGAAGGAAAACCCCAGGACACCTCCACCATAGGGAACAGGACTTTGAGCCAGGACTCTCCACTGCCTCCCCTCCATCATTTCTCCCAGTACACTCAACACTGCAGTGCAAGAAGCTGTTTGACTCTTCTCCTCTGGCCAGCTGGCTGTGACCTGCACAGACCCATCTCCTCCAGCAAACACAGTGCTCCTTCATTCCCTGCAAAATGCCTGACCCCCTTAACAGCACAGAAATTCTAGCAATCACCCCACTAATGTTTGGTAGGGTTTTCTCCAGGACAGATGTGCAAACAGTTTGGATTTGTAGGACCCATCCTGGTTTGCCACCAGTGGAGGAGTCCTGCCCCGTGGAAATGAGCCCTGTCCCAAGAGCTGCTGCACTGTGCTCACTGCTCAGGCAGTGTGCAGAGCACTGAGCATGAAGGCAGAGCTCCAAATTACATCCCAGACAGCTCCAAATTACATCCCACACACAGCTCCAGCCTCTTCAGAAGCAAAATGCTGGTCAAAGAGAGCAAGACACCCGTGAACATGAGGCAGCAAGAGCAGAGTACCTGGAAAGGCAACTCTTCCTCCTTGCCCTCTCTAGAGGGAGCTGGTAACCGAGACTCTCTCCAGCCTGACCCTGCACCACCCAGGGGACACAACAGACACCTGGGGGTTCCCATCTCAACATCATCTCCCAAAGGGATTTCATCTCAAACACAAGTCCTGATTACCAGGGCAAACATCTGCAGCTACAGCATGGCAGGAAGACCTGAGTATTACACCCAGGTCAAACAACAATTCAGTAACAAAAACCACCTTGAGATGTGCAGGAGGAAAAAAGATCAGATCAAAGGGAACAACACTTTTTTAGACAGTACTCTAAATTGTTAACAGGTAAAGAACTACCTTAATTCAAGAAAGGGAGAATTTAGAGGAAGGGTTCAACATACACTTTGTCCTTGAGAAATGTCACTAGAAGTAGAGGTATCTGGGTAGCAAAGTTAGGGAAAACATGACAAAATCTAGGTTAGGGTCTTGGCCAACAAAACCACCCTAAGAGCCAACAAACATCCAGCCCAGCCAGCACAACCAGAGCAAAGTCAGGCAAAAAATGCACCTTCCAAAGGTTGGACAACTAGAACAGCACTGTCCAGGTGAAAAGGCTTTTAAAATCACACATAAAAAAACAGTAAGCAGCAAAGAAAAACACTGAAACAGTGCTTTGAGTAAGGAAGACCTGCAGAGCTGCATGGCCTCCCCTAACACCCTGCCAGCTGCTGGGAACAGGATCTGTGGGGCTGGAGGCAGCAGCATGAGGCACTCTGAGAAGGTGGAGCTGCCTGCAGAGCAATTGTGTGGTGTAAGTTTTCGGCTACATATCTATTTTAGCTGATAGGGCTGAGCTCTCCAGATATGGCTTGACATGTAGAAGCACTCTGCACCCTGTGCTCTGCACAAAAAGTGCACACCTGGGGCCACACAATGGGCAGAAATGCGTGGCAAAGCTAACAGTATTGATTTTTAAATGGTGTTTTATTAGCTTATCTTATCAGCACAGTTAATATTAAAAAATATAAGACAAACATATATAACACTCTGACCTTTGCTATCTGAAATAATATTTACTTTTACTCTTTACACACATGACCTATCAGCTGTGAATGGTTCACACCAACTGTGAAAAAACAAAGTAATTATAAAACCCCAAAACCTGCTTTGATCTCACTAGAGCTTTTACAGGTCAAAGGCAGGACCTGAATAGTGAATTTGCAAGTGATGGAAAGAGATGTATAATGCAATAAAGGGCCCATTTAAGAAAAAAAAATAGTGTAAAGCAGCTGACTCCCTCCTTCAGGATCAGGAAAATGGGTTCCAAGGCAAATGCCATCCCATTTGTGGCTACAGGCATTGCATTTTCCTTCTCTAGAGAAATCCCTCATTTTTGAGGGTGTCTTCTTTGCAAAGGAAGAATAGAGGTAGGCCTAGAAAGTAAAATATCCATCAATATAAAAAAAAAAAGAGAGATCTCTCCAAGGATGGCAAGACTCTCCTGTTGATGACTGTGTTGCAGCTGCTTATGGGCACTCATGAGAACAAGCATGGGAACAACTTTATCTCCTTCAAAATCACCTTTTCCTGCTGTGCTGGCAATTACTGCTTGTTTATCAGAAACCAGGAAGATGCAGGGACAGCAGAGCTAATAGATGGGTCTCAGAAAGCAAAGGTTAGGACAATGCAGACACCAAGAGATGAAGGCAGGGTCTGCTGCTGTCCAAAAAGTTCCCAACACACAAAGGCACCTGTGGTGACCCAGCCCTAAGGGGAAGGAAGCACCTAAAGAAGCACCTTCCCCCTAAGGGTGGGTTGTCACAGCACTGTCCCGAGAGCCTAGAGCCTGCAACTATTTTTGGAAGCACATGGAAGGGTTTGTGGCTGTTTCTAATAGGAAATACAGATGCAGGGGAAGAAGGTTGTGAAGTGTCCATCACTGCAGTTAAAGACTGAGAACAACACTCACTAGCACAGCTTTGCCTTGGGTAGGGCCAGGCTTGGCTCAGGAGCCTCTCACCCAGGGCAGTGACAGCCAGGAGGCTGAAGGCAGGAGTTTGGTGGGTACACTGGAGCAAAGGCACCCAACGAGCTATCCAGATGAGAAGTGACATTCTCATAATGATTTCTCCTCAGGAGGAGGTTCCCCCTACTCCAAAGAAGCTGTGTTCATACTCACCAAGGCGTGATCAAACTTAAAAGTACTGATGTAGTAGGCTGGGATGTCGGCTGCAGCCAAAGGCTCAGAAATCTGAGCGACAATTCCACATTCATCTGTGGGGAGATAAAAAATAAAACATGGTCTGGAGGGGCTTGCAAAAGTCTCAGAGCTCACCAGTTTCATGTCTACATATGGAGAAGTTTGTCTTCACAAACTCCAATCAGAAGGAATCTCTGCAATAAAACATATTCTTTCTCACAGAATCTAGCATTTGGACTACAACAACACACTGAACATTTAGTGTTATTACCTTCTTTTTGCTACAGAGAAATGCACATTCTCTAGAGGCACAAAACAATCAGAACTGGAATGACTCAGAGGTCCAGAGAAAGGTGCTGAACAATGTTCAACAAGAAAGCAAAAGCTCAGCCCATTTATCCTTAACATCCATTTTTCTCTATTACTGAACATTTGGCCCTGCAACTCTGAAAGAGGAGATACTGACCCATTAGTCAGCCTGGACACATGGTTCCTAGGCTGCAGCCCACCATAGCCCCAGAAACAAGATTTCACACCAATTTCACCACAGAGTCGTCATAGATTGTTAAAGAATTGAAGTGGACCTTAAAGATCCTCTAATCCCAACCCCAATACCATGGCGGGGACACCTCCCACTGGAGCAGGCTGCTCAAAGCCTCATCCAACCCAGCTTTGAACACTGCCAGGCTGGGACCTCCACAGCCTCCCTGGGATACCTGTGCCAGAGTCTCACCACCTCACAGGGAAGAATTTCTTCCTAATACCTGACCTGAATTTCCCCTCTTTTACTTGGTACCCATTCCCCCTTGTCCTGTCACTCCAGTTCCTGATGCAAAGTCCCTCTCTGGCTTCCCCGGAGCCCCTTCAGGCCCTGGAGGTGCTGGGAGGTTTCCACCCAACCTTCTCTTCTCCAGGCTGAGCAGCCCCAGCTCTCTCAGCCTGTCTGCATAGGGGAGGTGCTCCAGTCCTCCCACCGACTTCATGGCCCCCTCTGGACCTGCTCCAACAGTTCCATGTTCTTATGTTGGGGACACATAAAAAAAAGCAGAATCCCTCCTTCAACCTGCTGACCATTCTCCTTTGGATGCAGCCATCTGGGCTATCTGCTTGGCCTTCTGAGCTTTAAATGAAATTTAAATGGTTCATCTGTCTTGTTTGTTGCAGATCACTGTTTTCAGATGAAACCTGGAGTTTTATTGATTCAAATTCGACATTTGAACTTGATTTTAAATTAACAAATATTTAGGGGCCTGTGCAATGTCCTGATGTGCTATCAATGACATATCATGCTATTTCTACATATTTTCCTCAAAGATGTATAAAGAGAAAGTAAAATGAAAACTTCCTTCTTGCTACTTTTGATGGCCTGGTGTAGAAGTTGCAATTAAATACAAAAATTACCCCAATGTTTTGCAAAAATGTCCTTGAAGCTTTTATTTTATAACTGGTTCAGAGCCCACAGGAAGGAGCCACTGCATTTCCTGAAGATCAGGCCTCTGTTGCATTATTCAGATCAAACCCTTAAAATTCCAGGGGACACAGAAATAACAAGAATACTCCTGCATACAATGAAGCATTTGCTCTGTGCTACTTAGGACCAATATTCTTTTGAGTAGAGAAAACATGTGCAGGACTAGATGTGAAACACATCTGTTAACAAGACCTCCACTTGGACTGCCACAAATCTATAAAAAGTCCACCAGAATCACAGAATTACTCAAGCACTGCACTGGAGTATGACACTGCTTTTTAACCACTGATTTCAGCAATCTGCAATGAATTCCCATGCCACCTTTTAGTCCAGTTTTTCTCTTTAACCAAACCCAAAGTCCAGCAGAGGAAATCAATGTAGCTGAACTGTTGAGCACTTCCAGGAGTATATTCAGAGTCAAACTTAATAGGAGTGAGGCTTCCATTTGAAAATCTCAGCTCACAAAGTCATGTTAAGCTGCTGGCTCTTAAAAAGCATCAGCCTCAGATGGATTTTTCCACACTCCCTGAAGGCCCTGAGGTGACTGCCTGCCTGCCTGCACACCAACTGATCCTCCAAATGTTACTCACCAAAGCCAAGAGGCTGCCCACCGATCCGCACCATCTTCCAGAGCTCACCAGATGCACTTGTAAACAACAAATTATTAGGAAATCTGTAAAAAAAAAAAAAAGGAGCACCAAACATAGCAATTAAAACACAGCAGTGTGTCAGATTCTGCCTGTGGGGGATCTGCTCTTCCTGCATCCTTGAGATGTTTGAAGCCAAAAATAATGGGGCAGTACCTTGGGCAAACTGGGAAAACTCAAGGCAGGTGGGGCAGATGCACCTGCCTGATCCTCCAGGTATCCTATGGCAGATCAGCCTCTCCTGGAGGTGGGCACAGGTACCCAGAGAGGCACAGGAAAAAATTAGTAAGCAACAGGCTGTGTCCCAGCTTTGCAAATGAAACTGTGAAGGTTTGATTTGAGCTGCATTTGGGAACAGCTAGGGATGGAATATGTTCCCACGCCTGCTCTCAGGAATGTGAACAGTAACTACTGCTTTTGTGTCTGAGCACCACCAGTGCTTTTTTCCATCCCAGCCTGGGACCACTGCAGAGGTCTCTAGTTCTCAGTAAGGGGAAGCCTCTCTCGAGGCTAAGAGAGTTGCCCAAGTGAAGCAGCAGCCTGTGAGAGAGAAGAATTGGCTCCCCACATTTCTCACCCCCCAGGCTGAAGCTCCAGCCCTCTGGCTCCTCTTAAGACAGACAAAGGTTTACTCCAATAAGGTCAAAGAAACTTTCAGGAGGGCAATTTATTACTTTGAAAAACAAGTCCCTGGAGCAGGGGATTCCCCCCCAAGAACCAAACCCAAACTGCTCTGTATGTCAAAAGCAAATCTAATACTGCTGAGTATTAGATCTATCTGATAGATCTGATCATCCCTCTAGGCTCCAGACCTCAGAGCCTCCCGTGCTGCACAGCTGCAGAAGCACAGACACACACACAGAGAGGCTGACTGCTCACCAGCTGGCTCCTTCCTTGCTAGACAAACAAGTCATGGGCTCCCACTGCACACTGATGGCCTGGGACATTTTCATCATAACAAGACTCTGAACCAAGCCCATCCATGTGTAAAGGCAAAGCAGGAGGACAGCATCACTGACATCCCCACCCTGATATTGGCTTTTATCCTTCTCCAACCAAGGAAAACTTCAAATACCTACACTAGGTTTTTCTTTTAGGTTTTGCTCTTACAAGCACAGCTAATGAGCAACAGAATAAAAGTGCAAAAATCACTTTGCTCCAGTATTCCTCTTTTGAAAGTGAGCTAACCCTACATCACATTGATTTGTGATTTCACTGAGGGCTTGGACAGACCAGTCCAAAATTTAGACACTGGAACTAAAATGCCAGATTTTACTCAGTAAAGTGACATGCCCATGACACCCCTACAAGACAATCCAAATAATTAACAGGGAGGAGTCTAAGCTGCTTCCTGCTCCTTTAAGAACAGCCCTTTTTTTTTTAAGGTCCAAGTTACTCCAAGAGCAAAGCTCACCTCTGCTGTGTCTGGACATCCATGACCAGGGAGATGTAACCCTCAATGAGAGAAAAGGAAAAAAAGCGAATGTGTCCCGAGTCTTCGTTGCCCACCACTGAGTCTTTTACTCTGAAGAAACAGAAGAGAACTACATTAACTGTGGCTAGAAGACCACAAAAAAGGGGTTTTAAAGCAGATATAGTCCGTGAAACCAGAAATGTTCTTACATTGACTTAGGGAATTGAAACTGCGTTCTGTTGTATTATACTGATTTGATTTTTTTTTTATTTTATTTTGCAGGTGAAAAACTATCCAGCCCCCACAACTGACAAAACTCTCCATCCCTGTCTCAAGGTCCCTCACAAGAAGCTGTGGGCCAGGAGGCACCAAGGGGCAGCAATCCAGCCAGCTGTACATGCTCTGGCACACTGACCACATGGCTATGCTCACCCTCACTCTGAAAAAGCTCAGCTTTCCAAAGCCAGCAGGTATCTTTGGGCACCCTCAAACACCTGTTTGGCTTCCACCTGTCAGGACGACCCTCCTGAGCCTGTGAAACCTCCCTCCCTCCCTCCGTGCAGAGTACTGGAGCAGCACAAGGCCACAGCAGATCCCTGGCATGCCAGAGGAGCAATCTGTGCCTCCAAACATTGGGCACACCTCTCCTGGAAACCCATCTCCCTGCAGGACCTACCCATTGGAGTAAAACATGACATCCATGAGGAGTGTAGCAACAGTGGGAAGGGTATCTGGATCCAGGCTGGTGACACAGAACATGTTACTTGGGCTGGAAAGAGGATGAATGACAGGCCTCTGAACTGAAAGAGACACACACAGACACACACAGAGCTATGAAGCCACGTCTGCAGCAAGCTTCTGTCCCATCAGCCGTGTTATCCATGCCCTGGCAATGGTTACAGAGAAAGCTGACAGTATTTGTAAGGCAGTGCCTCCTTGCTGAAGCCCTGCTGGCTCTCAGACAGGGAATGAGGGGCTGTGGATAATCTGCTCCTCTGCTGGTCTCCCTAAAGTGGTGTTAATCTGCATTCCCTGCCCAGCTCTCTGCTCTGAGGGGCTTTCAGGCCATTGGGTGCATCCACATGACATGAGGGGCAAGCTAAAGGAGGGCCAAGAGAAACTGGAAAGTGGCAAAAAAAAGCAGGCTTCCACCATTAAAAGGCAGGGCTATGGAAGGCTGTGGTTGCTGGCAGTCCATCCAGTTCTCCCTCATTTCTGAGGACCTATTTTGCCATTTGCCTAACAGATTGCAGCCAGTGGCTGAGAAGCAGCCAGCATTTAGGCATGCAACCTAATAGAGCAACACAGCATTTAGGTATGCAACCAATAGAGCACCACAGCGAACTGTGGACTAGTGCATTATCAACATGCATTTCACAGTTCCCTTTCTTGATGCTTTTTTTTCTTTAAGACTCATTTTCTTAAACAAGGTGATTGCTAGCTCTTGAGTGATGAAACTGAGTGGCACTTCATAATAATTGATCCCTGCTTTGTCTGGTTATGGACAAAAAATTAACACACATGTCTCTGTAGGTAAGCATATGTACATAAGGTTTCCCTTTTCCTGATTTTGCCCTTTGGCTTGATACTTGCTTCTTTAGCCTCCTGCAAACATCCTAAGGTTCTGTACAGCCCTGGGCTCGTTGTGGCCTTGATCCTCACTGGCACTGAAGTGTGAAAGTTGAAAAACAATCTTCTCTGTGCATCACTGCATTACTTAAACAACTTTTAGAGAAGCCATTTTCCTTTGGAATGTTGAAGCATGGAAATATGGGCTACAGACAACATTATTTTTGTAACTGCAACGAGCTGTGCTTTAACCTTCTGTCCTACCAAAGGCATGTCTTCTCTAGAAAAACTAGCATTAGAAGGCCAAAATTCAGCCAAACTTACTAGCACTGCTCAGAAAGTTAAGAACCTACTCAAATCCTTGGTTACACTCAGTGAGGCTTGTAAGATTATAATGTTACAACAAGATAAATATTCACCCAAATGTTGAAGGAAGCTAGGAGGCAGAACTTCCACCCCATGTGTCAGGGAGACCAAATGCCCGGCAAGCTGAGCCTGTGCTGGTCCTTACCTAGTTTTGGTTTGACAAATCCATTTGTTACCCCAAAGTCATCGGCAGCCACTGTCTCCCCATTCACTACTCTGAGGATGGTGAACTCGGCAGCCAGCGTGTGCATCACGAAGGGCAGGTCTCGCTCACGCACCTGAAGGGGACAACAGGATTATTTGGTGATGGTATTATGGTATTATCTGGATATTTTATGGTATGATCTGGATATGCACCAGAAATGACAGAACACTGCAGTGGAGGGGACACACTTTTAGTGCACAGCAAAGTGGACAAGACTCCTGGTTGAGGCAGTGGATGGTTACCATTTAGGTGTATCTTAAGAGAAGCACACTTGGTGATATCACTGTGGGTATCAGGAGGATTAAGCACCAGAGTGCTTTCATGACTGTAAAAAGAATGTGGAGATTTCTAAGTGGGAGATGGTTCACCTCTTTTCCAGCATTCCTGCAACAGCTCAGAACTGCCAGTCCTTCAGTCTTGTTTCCTCAGGAAATAAGGCTGTGCCTTGTGTGCATGCACACACACGTGTGTGTGAAACAGACAGTTTGGCTGTCTATAACCAAAACCACTTTGGAGCCTCTTGGCCATCACCAGCCAACCTGACAGCAGACACTATGTTCCTCTAACTTTCAGAAAACCAATGTCTGAGTGATGGTGGGAAGTGCTACCAGTATCTCCATTTCAGAAGAGACCGTTGTGTGGGCTCAGCACTCATTAGACACCAGACAACCCATGACAACAAATGCTTCATCCCAAAGCTCCTGAGATGTCAGAGGGCCTAACTACAAGGAACAGAGCTCTGGGGAAAGTAGACTTTGGTACTTCTGCCACGCCCAGACAGCTTGTTCCCAGAATTGCCCAGCTGAACTTTCCTCTGGTGGCAATAACTCTGCCTGGTCCCCTCATGTCCTCTTACCAGGATGAAGTCCGTCTGATAGGTGGAGAGCATAAACACTGAGATGTTTTGGTCAGCTAGGGGTGCTATGACTGACTTGGCAATTTTGGTCACTCCGATGGGCTGGGAGCTGGAGAAACCACCCCCACCAGACACCACGTTGAGGGCAAGCCATGTTGCATCGGCCACGCTCAAGTGTTCCGAGGAAGGAAGCTCTGCAGAGACAGAAGGGGAGGACAGAGGTTTGATTTAGAGGCAGAGAGAGCCAGGTCCACCATGTGCCATTATGTGCTTAGCACAGACCTCAGTGCAAGGAGTGAGATGAGTCCCCTTATCCCAACCTCCTGGGCTTCCCATGCTGCTCCACAGGGTCATACTGTGACACTCCTTCATGTACTGATGGCATCACTTTCCATGGCAGCATTCACACAGATTATCAAGGACAACACAGGGAACTGCAGGGACTCAGCAATTCACTTGGATGCCAGTGAACAATTCTGTTGACCTTCCCAAGGGGAGAAACAGCCAGTGGCGGTTGTGTGGTTGCAAAAGGAGAGTGCCAGTGTGGGGTCTAAACAAACTCTGTATTCTACTCCCCTGGACATCATTCCTGACAAACTGTTCATTACAGGTCACCCATCCCACACCTGACACCCCAGGCTACAAGCTGGGTGTTAGATAAGGCAGAAGAAGCAAACCCTTGGAGGCAGGGTAGTGTTTCTTCTTCACACCAACGACTCAGCTGTGATAATTCCCTTTGGGGAAGCACCAGCACAGTCACATCCATCCTCAAGGGGGAATCTCTGCTAATGGGCCATAATGGGCACCATCAGAATAGGGGCTGGAACTCCCCAAAATATCCTGACTCACATTATTACATCATTCCACTGTGAAACCCCAGGAGGTACTGAGCATTCCTGCCTGAACCTGAGCCTAATTAATCTCATCATCACCACTATCACTGGATGGATCCAGAAGAGGAACAGAACTTCCACAGGACCATGGCTTTTGACTGCAACAATCATCTGACAGGACTGTGTTCAGCACCCTGACCAACAGAGTGCCAGGCTGTACTCTTTGTGCCAGTCTTCTGTGTATCATTGCATTTATTGCAATCTTTCTATTAAATTGTAACTCCAACCTGAAATCTCTCTCAAGATAATTCTATGGGGATTCTCCAGCTGGTTCACTTTCAAAGCAGCACAGTAGTCTTGGACTTAAATCTCTATCATACAATTTCTCCAAACATTTTACTCAAGCTGTTCTGGCCTTTTTTGTTTCCATTTTCCCACTCTATCTAAATACAAATTTTGTACTCCTGGTCTGGAGATGGAGGCTGACAGAGCACCTTGGGCACTATCCCTAGTCTTTGAAGATGCAGACCAGGCACCCTGTGCATCTGTGGGCTCCTGCCTCCATCTCTAAAGCAGAAGAACCACACAGCTCTGCAAGGGATGGATGGTGTAACACATATACTAGGGATTACAAAGTAAGAACATACTAAGGTAATACAAATTACTTTGGAAATGGAAAACACTAAGAATAATCCCATTCCACTTGCTTCTAATCTGTTGTGGTTAAGTAGTTCAAAATCTGCAGCTAAACCATCTAATACAAATTATTAACTGTTTTAAAAAACCCTTAATGTATTAACAGCCCAGAAAACCAGATGCAGACTCTGGAATGAAGACATACACTACTTTAGGATTCTCTGGATTTTTGATTTTTGTTTGGCAAATTATAGAAACAAACAGTTCAGATCCAGACTAACAAATGCATAATCCCAGCTAAATCTACTTGGTGTAAGGAACCTGATCTCAGATGCAGATCCAGCCAGGAAGGACACAGCAGATGTGCCAGGGGAGGCCTACACACTTAGCTCAGAGGTGAGATGCAGCCCAGGTCTCGGGGTCTGGGTGTTGGGATGATCCCAAGATTCTAAAAGTTCTTGTTTCCCAGCCAAAGAAGCAGTCAGAATGTGTAGGATCAGCTTCTCCAGGTTGTTTATTTCCCCTTATTATAACATTCTTTCTCTGACCTGCTGAGCTCTGTCTAGCAGGTTGGCCATGGCATTCTGTTTGCCCTCTAGGGTGGTGTTTACATTTTATACTAAAAAATTACGTGTACTATGTTTACAATAATGTGCCAATATCTATCAATTATGTTAGACAAGCGTGTCTCTACCTTAAACCAATAGAAAAGTGTCACCATCACAGCAAGACATGGAGGACAAGAAGAAGGAGAAGCAGGCCAGGACATGCCCAAATCCCTCCATCTTGACCCCCTGAACCCTTTATTTCAAAATCCTAAAACTCTACTCTTTCACCCTGTGTTAGTTCAACTACCACACTACTCAAACCCTTGTGGCTTGTAATTCCTCACACAAAGTTGTCAGTTTTTTCCACGGGCTAAAATGGAAGCCAGAAGGTGTTTTTGACTTTGTGCCAAGGTCTCTGAGTCCCCTGCCAGGGTCTGGAGCCAGCCAGGGCAGCCAGAGGGATGTGCTGGACTCCAACACCCAGGAGTCTGAAAGCACAGACCCCAGCACTGCTGCTCCTGCAGTCAGCACTCTGGCACTTTAGGCAAGTGCCTGCATGGCTCCATGTCCACACACTCCTGGCTCCTCCATCCTTTCCTTCTCCTCCAACGAGACCTTTGGGAGTTGTTTCTGTACAGCCCCAGACACCGTGTAATGAATTCCTAACCTCACCCTCTCTGAATCCTCAGGCATCACTTCCCTGAGACACTGACAGCACTGAAAACCCAAAATGATCTGAATAACAAACACATTTTGCTCTCTTCAATAACCTCAATTGTGTGTAGCATGGAAACAATGCTGAGCATACACACTGCAAACAGTGGGGACACTGAGGGTTCTGCATCTTCATTTTGATGTTTAACTTCATAAATCAATGTTTCTTTTTTAATAATCAGAGCTTACATGGAATGAGAAGTAGACACCAGGGAGAGGAGGTAAGTTTGTGCATTAATCAACAGCATGTTATGTCACAGAGATCTGTGCAAGGTGCTTGAAGCAAATTATTGCAGCAAAATACCATTTTCTCATCAGGCCTTTGCATCAGAAAAGCCCCTCCAAATCCACGCTTTCTGCATCACCTGGCACGGAGAAGCTGGAGCTCAAAACAACTGCTGAGCTACATATGTTCCAGGTTCCTGTTCCCACCTGCAGTGGGCACATCCCAGGTGTGCCCAAGGCCACTACTGATTCACTTCTGGCAGCGAGATCACAGCTCATTTCCTGCTCTGTACACAGAGTAATGATGTTCCTGCTTTGTACAGGTGATAAGGATTGCAATTCATTAATTACCAGTTTAAACACATTTTGGGCCAGGGATGTGATGTGGTGCAGTATTTTGTGGTGGACAGAGGCATTATCCCATTTCACTCCAGCAGCAGCTGTGCTGGATGAGCTGCCCCAAGAAGACCTCATCAAGCTCTTCCTGAGGGGGAAGGAAGGCTGATTTGCTCATTGCACTTGTAATTACTCGGAAGTGTTAGTAATTTCTGGGTTTATGTGTTTAACAGGCCCTATGAAGTGTGACAAGGGCCATTGCATTTGCTTAAGTAACCTGCTTCTCATGATTCAATTAACTTGGAAAAATATATAGGAAGTGATTGAAATACCGATTTTGGACTCTGTTTCCACTAGGCAGCCAGATAGAAAAGTACAGCGCAAATTTTAATGACACAAACCTAGGCTGAAGGCTCAACAAATTCATCTAAATAGCATTAAATAAGTGACGTGGGATGGTGCCTTGCCCAGGAAGCTGTTGAATGCTGTAAACCCAGAGAGAGATGAGAACACCAGCTGTAACATTAGCACAGACTCAGGCAGAATAAGGTAATCAATAAAGAGCAAAATGAGGAATTGCCCACATTCCAGTACCAACTCACCATCACCACCCGTTTCCCCACAGGAGAACAGAGTTCCAAGCCCCCACAGCTTCAGCACTGCCACATCCCTTGTCCTTCCATTGGACAAAAATCTGTCTGCTGGGCTCTCAAGATCCTCTTGTAACTGGTTTATCAGAGTGCAGTCACTCCCACTTCTGATCATGGGGGACATCTCAACTCTGGCTGAGAAAGACCTCTAAAAATCACAGATTTGGGCTTTGTTTCTTATAATCAGGGTTTTCATTTTGACCTTTCATTGGGATGAAGCCTTAAGATTTTCCTGGTTTTGCTGTGTAAGGCTTTGCAGAGTTGCTAGCAGAAGGCACCGGGAGCAGCTCAGCTGTCTGCAGACTCCATAACCATCATTTGCTGCCCAACATGACTACCACAGGCTGGAAGAGCAGGCTTCCAGACTCAGGCTGTCATTCCATCCATGGGCTCTGGCATGGAACACCACCAGCCTCAACAAGATGTGATCATTGTGATAGTCCAGGATGATTTTCCCTGGCAATGCAACGCTGGATACCAAGTGCTGGTGGTCTCCAAAAGCCTGTGGGGCTGCTCTCCATTGGCACAGGTACCAAACTAATGCCAGTCTCCGTGCAAACCAAACCCAGCCAACATGTCAAATAACATTTAGGATATGAGTAAATGCTTATTCACAGCACAGGTGATTTACAAGGCATGGAGTCTGTCCAGAGCCTCACTGGCAGCCACAGTCTCGGGGTCTGGTGTTGGGATGACCCCAAGATTGTAAAAGTTCTTGTTTCCCACCCTGCCCAGCCAAAGAAGGAGTCTGAATGCATAGGATTGGTTCCTCGAGGTTGTTTATTTTCCCTTATCTAGAACATTCTTTCTCTGACCTGCTGAGCTCTGTCTAGCAGGTCGGCCATGGCATTCTGTCTGCCCTCAGGGCGGTGTTTACATTTTATACCATAAACTACGTGTGCTCTGTTTACAATAACGTGACAGTATCTATCATTTATGTTGGACAGTGTGTCTCTGCCTTAAACCAATAGAAAAGTGTCACCATCACAGCACGACATGGAGGACAAGAAGAAGAAGGTCAGGACACGTCCATATCCCTCCATCTTATTCCCCTGAACCCCATTCTAAAAAGCCCCAAAATTCTACTTTTCCACCCTGTGTTAATTCAACTACCACACTACTCAAACCCTCGTGGCTTGTAATTCCTAATACAAAGTTAGCAGGTTTTTCCATGGGCTAAAATGGAAGCCACAAGGTGTTTTTGACTTTGTACCAAGGTCTCTGAGCCCCCTGCCAGGGTCTGGGGACAGCC